CTGAGGGAGCTGGGATTGTTCAGTCTGGAGAAGAGGAGGCTCAGGGGAGACCTCATTGCACTCTGTAACTTCCTGAAGGGAGGCTGTGGTGAGGAGGGGTTTGGCCTCTTCTCCCAGGCAATAAACAGGACCCAAGGAAATGGCTGCAAGTTGTACCAGAGGAGGTTTAGGTTGGACTTAAGGAAGAACTTTTTCTCTCAGAGAGTGGTCAGGCACTGGAATGGCTGCACAGGGAGGTGGTGGAGTCACCGTCCCTGCAGTGTTCAAGAGGCGTCTGGACGAGGAGCTACAAGATATGGGTTAGTGCTTGTGGTAGCAGTGGTGATGGGAGGAGGTTGGATGGTTGGACTAGATGATCTTGCAGGTCGTTTCCAACCTTGGTGATTCTATGGTTCTATAATTCTATGATGCTGTGATTCTATGACTGGGGTAAGAGCCATGGGAGATTTGCAGCCTCTACAGCCACCCTGCGCTGATCACTTGTGCCTGGGGTCACAGGGATAGGGATGAGGTGGTGCAGAGGGACTGAAGGATGCAGGAGGTGGAGGAGTCCCACTCTGGGCAACCATCACCTTCCATCATCCAACCCCAGCGCTTGAGGTGGCAGAGGGCAAGCTGCCCCATGTCTTTCTCAGAGGGGAGCGGCCTCTTTGCACTCCTCCAGCCCCTCACAACTGCCCTCCCCAAGTGACTGACCGCAGTGGGAGGCCCCACAGAGAGCTGGCCAACAGCAGGGTCAAGGTCCAGGCAGGGGGAGCTCAGCAACAGCGGGCAGCTGAGCTGTGCCCCACGCAGCGCCATGAAGCTGGGGCTGCTCTGCGCCCTCGCCATGGCCTTTCTGGCCCTGGCCATGGCTGACCTCAAAGACTCCAAGAAGGGGAAAACGCTCACGTGGAACAGAGAGGTTGGTGGTGGGTGAAGGGAAGGGTTCAAAGACAGCAAATAACAGTCAGGAAGGGAGGGAGGCTGTAAGGAGATGCCATGAGGAGGGGGGACGGCCCCAAATGTGGCACAGCAATGCAAGAAGCAAGCCCCCCACACCGCACCCCAAGGGATGCCATCTGCTGTCACCAGCACCCTGCACTGGGCAGGTGAGAGCCCTGGAAAGCTGCTGTCTCCATCCTGGTTCCCTGTGCTACTCTGGACGAGGGTGGCCCCGAGGATGGGCTGGGGGCAACAAGGTGTGGCCAAGCCCTTCACTCCGAGGAGCTGCGCTGTGGGGGGAGTCCTGGAGCATCCCAGGGCCCTTTGCTCCCCGAAGCACTGTGACCACTTGCACAACCAGCAAACATTTCATCAGGGCTTGGCAAGGGGATGAGAAAGGGGAGGAGGGCTGCTGTCTGGGGTCCAGAAAGTTGTCATCCCCTCCTCTTCCTCCCCATTCTCCTTTTCTCCTTCCACCATCCCACTTACTGCCACACAGCTCAGGTCTGCTCCAATCCCACCACGGGAGAACAGCACCAAACAGGTGCCAGTGCTCCCACCACACCCCATGGGTGTCCCACTGCTCTGAGTGCCCCGCAGTGGCCCCACTCGGGTCCCCATGGGGAGCTGACTCCTTCCCTCTGCAGGCAGGGACGCGTGGCGGGGGCCGGCGCAGACCACACCAGCTGTGCTCGGGGTGCTTCTCTGTGCTGAGCGAGGTGAGAGAGGGGCTGGGGACAAAGGAGGGGGGGGACCCCACACACCCCAACACAGGGGCAGTGGGGGGCTCTGTCCATCCCCAAAGGCTCAGCTCTTGAGTGCCCCTTGAGAAACTCCAAGAAAAACACCAGGGGCACCCAAGACATGCTCCCCTCACATCACTCTGGACACCCCCCCTGTAGGAGTCCATCGCAATGTCTCGGAGCACTGGGGACGTGGATGAAGCTCAGGCAGGCAGGCAGGTAGGTGCAGGGACCCACCATGCCACTGGCTTGGCTGGCAGACACAGCACCCCCCTCCCCATCGCCCCATGGCTCTGACATTGCACTTCTTCCCGTGCTGTGTCCAGGAGCGCACCAGGAGGGAAGTTGAGAAACCTGCACAGCAACGCCGCAGTCACTTCCCAGAGCCCGGACGGGTAACAGTACAGCAGGAACCCAGCATCCCTTGGTGACACCAAGCCCCTGAAAGGGGACCTCTACAGGGACCCTGTGCCATGTCCCCAAAGGTGACCATGCTGTGTCTTGCAGGACAGGAAAAGAGGAGCAGCAGTGGCCAAGCACAGCCCTGCGCCATGATGGAGCTGGGGGTCCCACCACCCCCTGACTGCACCGCAGCCCTGAGGGGAGCCAGGAGGTCCCGCTGTGCCTTCTGCATGGTGGGGCTGCCCCGCCACCCCAGAGTCCTCCTGGGGGCAGCACCCCACCCGCCACATGAAGCTGCCAAATAAAACCACCAAACCAGCCTGAGGGTGTGTGTCTGTGGAGTGGGGAGTGCTGGAGAGAGCCATGTGCTGGCACTGAGCCCCCACCTACCCCCCTGCTCAGCCACTCACCTCCTACTTTGTCCCATCTCTATGAGTAACTTCTCCTCCATGCCAACACCTTAATCTGTGCCCCCCCCACTCAGCCTCCTCCCAGCCTGCCCTCTTGCAGTGCCCCAAAAACAGGGAGGACCCGGGTGCCCTGTCCACTCCCATTAAATGAGGTTTATTTGGTCAGTGGGGAGAATGAGGAATGGGAGAGGACAAGGAGAGGTAGGACACTTCCCCAATTAGCCACACCTGCCCAGTTAGCGTTAATGAAGGCAAGCAGCAAACTCACTCAGCCACAGTCGTTGTTGGGCTGTGAAACGCTGCCTCAGAGCTCTGCAGCAGATGGAGATGTTGGCTTTGGGGCCAGATGGTGGGGACACGGCTCTGGAACTGCCCAGCCCTGGGGCAGGAATGGTGCACAGCCCCAAACGCACTCCAGGAGACTGGGATGAGTGAGGGGCACTGGAGTGTGATGCTCTGAACACCCTAAGTCGGGGTATGGATGCATCCTGAAGCATTCCAACAGCCTGGGGGGGACACACGGGAAATGTCACCAGCGTCACTCAGCAGCGAGGCATCGGCAGTGATGAGCCAGGCAATGCCTGTAGGTGCTGTGGTGGGCTCAGTGCCAGCACCGGGATGAGGACATGGGCTGTCCGAGCCAAGAAGCTGCCTGGCACTGAGGGGCAGAGGTGGGAAGTGGTGGGGCCCGTGCACTCTCATGCACAGGTTTCCTTCTGCTCCACAGGAACTGAGCTCCCCCTGTGCTCCCCAGACTGCACAGGGTCTGATCCTGTCCAGAGCCATGGATGAAACCGAATCAGCTTTACCAGCCCCACTTTATTGCAGCACAGATCCATGCACACTGCAGGGCAGGGGGTCCCGTACTGGAGGCAGGAGACAGGGGGTACAGGAGGGGGTGAGCTCACCACGGCCACCTGAGGAGTTGGGGACAGCTGTGTATCCCCAGGTGGGACCCAGCTAAGAACAGGCCTGGGTTAGGGAGCAGTGCACCAGTCCTGTCATAGAGCCCCCAGATCCTGTGGGGCTGCAGAGCTGTTGGCTGCTCCGGACCCACAGCGAGGCAGCGCGAGGCCCAGCACCGCCGGCAGCACCATCTGCAGGATGGTGACAGCATCGGAGCCGTCGGGCAGCGCACAGCTGCCACGCCAGGCCCGGCTCTCCAGCGCCCAGCAGCGTCCCTCCAGGCGCCGGATGGCATCACGGAGGCGCCGGCGGCTGCGGATGAGCGCAGCCACATCCCGTGCCCTGCCCCGTGCCCCCTGCTCCAGCCGTGCCAAGCGGCTGCGCACACCCAACACCTCCCGTTGTGCCGTGCCCACGTCCCGGCGCAGTCGGTGCAGCTTCTCTGCCACAGCAGTGCGCAGCTGTGCCAACTCTGCCCGCAGCTCCAAGGTTCCCCCACAGCCACAGTGCTTCCGTGGGGATGCAGGGACCCGCCCAGGACGAGTCCTGGGATGAGTGCTGGAGCCCAGAGGGGACGTGGCCCTGAGTGCCCCTGTGGCCGTGCTGCAGGAGCTGCAGGGTGAGCGCTTGGTGCCACCCAAGGAGGGTCTCTTGGTCGCTGTCCCCATGGCAGGGACACGGGCACACAGCCACGTGCTGCCATCAGTGCAGCTGTCTCCCAGCACACAGTTCTCTGCAAGGCTCACCGTGGTCCCTGGAGAGCATAAGAGACCCATTAGTGGGGTGTCCCCAAAACACCCCCACCCATATGCTAGGATGGCACACGGTGCCGTGCTCACCTGCACTGGGGCAATGTTGGGGTGATGCCTCAGCACCACTCAGTGCCAGTGCAGCACCCACAGGGTTCCGGCACGGCGCCTGCACTGCCACAGACCTCAGACACCGGAGCAGACTGCGCAGTGGGGCCTCGTCCAGCACTGCAGAGAGCAGAGGGGACAGATGTCCATCAGGGCCACCCCCGCCCAAACACCACGTCTGCCATAGGATGGATCCATCCCAGCACCATGGCACCAATCCCTGCCCCCCGCCCGTCAGTCACCTCCTGGCCCCAGTAGGTGAATCTTGCTGTGTCCCAGAGCAGCTCACTCACCAGGGCTCATCTCCAGCCCCCTCTGCTCCTCTCTCCCAGTGTCCCCAATGGATGTGTTCATGCTCATCCACTTTGAGATCTCCATTTGGTGGAAGCGCGGTGTCACCAGGGCTTTGCCTGCAGAGACAAACCAAGCACCAAACACTGGGATATCCCCTGAGCGCCCTGCTCCCTCAACACAGAAGTAGAGGTGAGCACTGTGCACCCCAGAAAGGTGCCAGCCCCAAGGCCCTGTACCCCATCCCCACATCCTGAAAACCCTCCCTCTGCCACCATTGCATCCTCCTAAAACCTGCAGCCCAGGGATGCCCTGCTGCACCTTAAAACCCCAACCTGGTTATGGGGGTAGGATCCTGGGACTCACAGGGCAAACACCACCTGCAACCACAGATATGCCACAGCACACCGAGTGGCAGATTTGGGGCAGTGCCCCCAGAGAAGTGTGCCATCAGCTACACACCCACCTGCTGCAGAGGGGCTCTGGCCCTCATTCCTCAAGGCACTTGGCTCTACAGCCCCCCGTGTTCCATGGGAAGCCCCCAGTGGGGAATGGCACGATGTCGTTGGGATGGTGATGGCCCTCAGACAGTCGAGCAGCCCTTGCAGGGGGCTGTGCCCAATGCTCCCACCTGAAGAGAGCACACAGCATCAGCAGAAGGCACATTAGAATGGGGGGCAGCAGAAACCCCTCAAGGACACCCCCAGGGACTGGTCCCACAGTGACAGTGCAGAAATGTACTTGGGGACTTGACTACACAAGGATGCCAAGGGGAGTCTCCCTCAGAAACCAGACCCCCCCAGGATTTTCCCCATATCCAAGAGGCCCCAGAGGTTCCACTCCAATCACAGCCCTAGTTGTGACACTGAACCCCAAAGCCAGCGGTCATGGGGACCTGCAGTTCATCCTGCTGCTAAGAGCACTGTGCCCAGCCCAGCTTTGCCATGTCATGCTTCAACGTGCCATGCTGTGCCATGTTCTGCCACGGTGACACCACACCGTGCCATTCTCTGCCACGGTGACACCACGCTGTGCCATGATGCTGTGCCATGCCATGCTGTACTGTACTGTACCCCGCCATGCCATGGCACATGCATGGATCCTTGCCATGCCTCACCTCCATGCGAGCACAGCCCTCCCAGCTCTGCCTGCTGCCCCTCACTGCTGCTGGGGGTCCTGGGTGGGCAGGGGTCCCCCCTCGGCAGCTCCTCCAGGCACCTCTCCACGCTCCACAGCGGGGAGCTCTCAGCCAGCACTTCTGGTTTAACTGCAAAAGCAAATGCTGACCCCACACCCTGCTGATGGCCCCCCAGATCCCATCAGCCCCATGCCGTCTACCTCCACTCCCCCAGTACATGAAGAGTTCCCATCTTCATCTCTTTGTCTCCTCCCTCCCAGTGCACCCATGTGGGATCCCCCTGTTTCCATGACCCCAGTGCCCCCACCCCGCTCCCCAAACACCCCCATAATGCATCCTCACAGCACCTTCCACTGGTACTGTGGTACCGGTACCGACCCCAATGCGGTGCCATGGGCGCTGTGCTGCTGGGGCTGCCATGCCACGACGGTACCGCTCGCTCCAAGACATTGAGATTGGAATTCTCTGGAGCTGCCTGTGCTTCACCTGTGCATAGGGAACATCCCCATGGTGGTGGCTGTCACCCACTACTATGGACCCCCTCCACCCCTCCGGCCCCATACTCACCACCTGCACCCAGAAGTTCAGATCGCAGTGCCATATCCCCACCAGCAGCAGCACGTGGCCCTGCACCATTGGAGCTGCCAAAGAGGAACTGGGGGATGTCCCTCACCAGGCGTACCAGGGCACAGAGGGACGCACTGCTGGGGGGTCCTCGTGGCTCCTGCCCTGTAGCTGCATCTTGTGGTCCGTCTGCATCTGCAGTGCCAGAGGGAAGCGCCAGTTCTTCACCTGCAAGTGTGGGTGCTGGGTCTTGTACCATGCCACCCTCTTGTCCCCGTGGCAGTGGATGGGGACGTGCAGCCAAGGCCGGAGCAGTCCCTGTGGTGCCCTACCAAGGGATGCCAGCAGCTGCTCCGTCGCTGCCGTCACCTCGCGGTGCAGCTCCCGCTGCCACTCCTCCAGCAGCGCCCACTCCTCCACTGAGAAGCACACAGTCACCTCCTCCAGCGTCACCAGCACCTGCAGACACAGATGGTGGCAGCGCAGGGGAGGGGGATGTGTCCCTCCAGCAGCACCCACTCTGGGCATGGGGTGCAGGAATGGGGCATGGCTATGGGGTAGAGGGACAGCTTGCTCCTTGAAGGGGACAATGCAGAGCTCAGCCTCGTGGGGGCTGCAATTGCACCACTGGGCACCACGTGTGGCCCAGGTCCATTCAATGCTGCAGGGGCAAGAGAGGATGTGCCCCTGGGGTGGGAGCTGTGGCTTCAGTGGAGTGCAGCAGAGCTGGTGCATACTGTGACTCATGGCACAGAAGTCCCTGAAGTGCCCATGTCATAGAAACATCATAGAATCTGGGTTGAAAAGGAGCACAATGCTCATCCACTTCCAACCCCCTGCTATGTGCAGGTCGCCAACCAGCAGCCCAGGCTGCCCAGAGCCACATCCAGCCTGGCCTTGAATGCCTGCAGGGATGGGGCATCCACAGCCTCCTTGGGCAACCTGTTCCAGTGCCTCACCACTCTCTGAGTTGTGTCAGCTGTGATGCTGTGTGTCACACACACATGGCATGCAGAAACCCAGTGCCAAGCGCTGTGCCCTCCTAACACCCATTCAGCACTGCTTGGTGGAGATCTGAGGTCCCACGCTCCACATCTGCTCCCAACCAATTGTCGCTGCAGACACAACCAGGAGTCCCACCATGTCCCCGTGCACAGCTACGTGCATTTCACGCTCTGCCAGTGACATGATGCATCCCGACATGATGCTATTTGCAGAGGTGCTGCTGCCCAACCTCACGCTCTGTGTGCCACGCGTGATGCTGGCAGTGCTCCAGCAGGGACGTGCTAGGAAATTAGCACAAAGCATCCAAAAAGGGTCTGCAGCCATCCCGTTGGGTTGGGAGTACGCAGAGTCCAACGCACCGCTCTGGTGGCTGCGGGATGCAGGGAGTCTCTGCACGGAGGGCACTGCTGGCTCTGTGCCCCCGGTGCCCCGCAGAGACAGCTGTGGCAGAGCCCTCCCCGTGTCCCAGAGGCGGTGCTGCCCCCTCCTACCTGGCGAGGCACAGCCATGGGTCGCTCCATCGGCGGCTCCGGGGCACCGGGAGCTGAGGGGTGCCAGGTGCTGCTGCCGCCCGCCCCTGGAACAGCTCCACTCAGGACAGCTCTGTTGCCCGTCGTCCCCCCGGATCCCCGCGGTGCCGGTGCGGGGCTCACCTCGGGGCACAGCCGAGCAGGGGAGCCGAGGAGGGCCGGGCCGGGCGACCCCTGCGCAGAAGGGACAGAGCAGAGCTGTCACGGCGCGCTGCCACCGCGCTGCAGAGCGCGCCCCGAGGTGCCGGGGCGCCACGTGAGCCACGCCCCCTCCTAGACCACGCCCCCAAACGGTATCAAACCACGCCCCGTTCCGTCCTAACCACGCCCCCCCGAGCAGGTAGGCCACGCCCCCCACGCTCCTGCAGCCTGCAGGTGGCGCCCGATCCCCGCGCTCGGCCCCGCCCAAGCGGGAGGCGCCCCCTTGCGGCCCGGCGGAGCGCGGCGGCCTCAGGGCGCGCGGTGCCGGCGGCGGCGGCGGCCATGTCCTGCCCGGGCCTCGCTGAGGTGAGGGTCGGGGCCGGGCCCCGCGGGGTTCCGAGGGTCCGCCGGGCCGGGCCGGCCTGGCAGCGGCCCCCTGCGGCCCGACGGGGGCCGGGGACGGCGGGGGCCCTTCTGGGGGGTGAGCCCGTGGCGCCGGGGGTCCCGGGGCGCTGCGCGCTGTGGGTGAGGGGCCCGGAGCCTCGGGGCCCGGCGGTCGGAGCGGAGCGGAGCGGCCCGGCCGGGCGGCGCCTCTGGGGGTCGGGCGCGGTGCGGGCCGTGGGGCTCCCCAGGAGCGCCCCGCGGTGCCGGGCTCCGTCCCGCCCTCCCGTCCCTCCCGTTCTCCTCCCAGGCCTCGTCGTGGAGCACGCGCACCCGCAGGGCCCGGGCCGCGCAGGCCGCGGGGCAGGGCGAGGCGCAGGCCCGGCAGCTGCGGGAGCTTTGGAGCCGCGCCGAGAAGGCTGAGCGGCGGCTGTTGGCCTTCGAGAACCTGGTGGCGGAGCTGGGCAGCAACCTGGCGGCCCTGGGCAACCTGCTGCAGGGCTACGGGCACCTCCAGCAGCGCCTGGACAACGTGGAGAACCTGCTGAAGAACAGGAACTTCTGGATCCTGCGGCTGCCCCCCGGCACCAGGGGCGAGGTGCCCAAGGTGAAGGCGCGGGGCTGAGCTCGCGGTCCTGCCGCTGCGCCGCGAGCCCTGAGCGCCTTGGTGGCGAGGCAGGGCCGGTCCCCGTCCCCGTGCTGGGATGGTGAGCCCTGGAGCGGTGCTGCTGCCAGCCTCGATGCGCAGAGATGTGGCAGGAGCGTGGCGGAGGTCCTGTCATATCTACAGCGCGGGCTGCGGCTTTTTGTGCCAGGCCTGCAGCTCTGTCCCTGGTGCCGCCGCTCCCGCCTTGAGTTGTCTGAGGAGCTGCAGCCCACAGCTGGCTCTGCACGCAGGCCTCCAGAAGCACAAATTCCACAAACTGTGGAGGGGGGTGGGAAATGCTGGAGTGCTTTGCTCTCAGCGATGGGCTGGGGCAGATGAGCACCTGTGAAACCAAGACTTGCAACTCCCCCTGTGGCCAGGCATGCTTTGCCCTCGGCTCCTATGACCAAAGCCAGGCATTCCCTTCATGTGTGCTGTTTCCAGTTATCTGTAGTTGCAGCAAGCGAGTCACCAAGCGTGTAATGTTAATTTGTGATTCCAGGTACCCGTCACATTTGATGACATTGCCGTGTACTTCAACGAGCAGGAGTGGGAGAGACTGGACAGCTGGCAGAAGGATCTGTACAAAGCTGTGATGAAGGGTAACTACGAGACCCTGATTTCCCTGGGTAAGGCACGGGCTCTGCTTCTCCCAGTGAGCTTCTCTTCTGTTTAACTCGGGCTGTTTCTCTCTTGTTCAGTGGGGCTGACTGCCCATAGCTTGCAGAACCTGGGCAGCTAATCATTTTCCGTCCTTCCTTCTTGTTATCAGTAAACAAAACCTGTAAGTGGTAGGTAATATATACTAGTAATAATTAATAGTAGTGATAATAATGCAAAGAGCATTTATTATTAAAAAAATATATCCATATGTGATGCTGTTCTTAATGACTGTATAAGAGGATTCAGTATGGTCAGGGAACCATCATGATCTTTCAGCACAGTTCAGAAATTATCTAGGTGAAGTCTGATAATTGTATCTTGAACAACATTTTGTTTTCTGTCTTTTAGCACTGATTTAAAGTGACAGGGACATTTGCACGTGCCTTGGTAAAGAACCAACTTAATCATGTTCAGTCCTTCTAAGGATATTTGACATGTTCTTGGATGGTTTGGGCTGGAAGATATTTCTTATCAGAAACTGTTTCTTGGGCAACTAGTAGTGTGGTGGTCCATGCAGTTACTGACAATGAGAGTTCACTTTTCTCAATAGAGACTTCATTTTTCTAGCAGTATTCCGTATAGAAACAACAAACCTGTTCTTAAAATGGTCCGCCTGACGTAGCCATCTCTATGGAGCAGGAATCTTTCTGTCCCTAATTCAAAACTAAACTAATCTGATAGCAGTAGATCAGCCATCTTCAAATCACTGCTAATGTTGAGATTGGAGGAAAATGTTAAATTCAGAGCCTCTTCTTTGAGGTTTTAGGTCACCGTCCATTATTTAGATCTTTGCTGTACTTGAGCAACAGCTGTGCTAATGTGTGGATCCCACCATGGAACCGCTTTTCTCCCTTGTGTCAGTGCAGGTGGGAGGTCTGTGTCTGTCGAGGCTGCTTGCCAACGTTTGGGGTTAGGAAGAATGGTCACTCCCAAGTGTTGGGCAATTTACTACAGTAACAGCCAGTTCCTAACAAAACATGTTGTCCTCTGCTTCTCTGAGCAGACTATGCCGTGTCCAAGCCTGACATCCTGTCTCGAATTGAGAGGGGTGAAGAGCTCTGTGTCAGAGACTGTTGGGAGCCCCCACAGATGCTCAACCGAGGTGGTCCAGACCCCCAACAGACCATCCAGGGTGGGCAGGAGCTCACACAGACACACAGCCTGGGCAGTGAGGAACCTCTGCAGGCACGCATCCCAGGCAGTGAGGAGCCCATACAGGGCTGCAGCAAAGACAGTGAGGAGCAGCTGAAGACATGCCTCAAAGATGGTCAGGAGCCCACGCAAACGTGTGTCAGAGATAGTCAGAATACCCTGCAGACGTGCATCGAAGATCGTGAGGAGCCCCTGCAGGCACCAGAAGAGATGGACCAGATGGAGGAGGCTTTGGGAAAAGATGACCATGTGGAAGGTGACAGGGGTAAGTTTCACATGTGCCAGAGGGACGTGGCAGTTCCTGTCTCAACCTTGTCAGATCTCCCATTGATGTCTGTTAGGAATGACCTGCTCTGAGGTTCTTTTGATTGTATTGTCTAAATCTCCATGGAGTGCCTCGAATCTTACTTCCAAGAGAAACCTTTATGCTTGGCCAGATGAATCCCCTGGAGACAAAGGGCTCGGGTAGAGCCTGCAGCAGCGAGGCAGACCTCATGGTCTCTTCCAGCCCTTTTCCTGTGCAGTTCTGCAGTCCTTCACCTGATTGCACGCATCAACCCTAATGCTTCTGAAGACAGTACTGCTTGCCTTGCTGAGAGAGGAGACCTGGTTGGAAGTAGGAACCTGCAATGTGGGGAGGAGGCTGGAACAGCCTTGATAGCTCTAGGGGCTGCAAAAGGAGTCAGGAGAGCCATGGGGCATGGCAAGAAAGAGTTGGAAAAATTAATTGCCAGATTGTGAAGGCCAGGCAAGAAGGGTAGAAGATGCTGGAAAGCTGCAGTCAGAGCCAGAGATGGAGCTGTGCTTGAGAGCTATTTCTTGTTGAAATTAGAAGCTGGGGGCTACAAAAACTTCAGGAAAGGCGGAGTGAAAGCTGACAGGCAAATAGCAGGCTCTGCCCTTGGAGCAAAATTACTCTGAAATTATAGGAGCTCCATCATGACTGTGCAGGTTGGTTTATGAAGTGCTCCTTAGGAGATAGAAAGTGATGTTCCATGGGCATGGTTTTTCCCTCTCCATTCAGACTTTAAGTCATGTTCTGTTACTCAGATTTTCTCTATACTTGAGCTACAGTTGCGCCTTATGGGTGGATCCTACTATAACACCATGAAATCAGCACCACTTTGCCTGTTAGAGCACAGATAACATTTGCGTCTGTCCTTACTGCCTGCCATCTCTGGGGTTAAGGAGGAACGGTCATTCTGAAGTTTCTGACCTTTCAGCAGAGTAATGTTGTAGCCAGTTCCTAACAAAACATGCTGTCATCTGCTTCTCTGTCCCTAAGCAGAGTTCGCTGTGTCCAATCCTGGCATCCCATCCCAGACTGATAAGAATGAAGAACTCTGTGTCCAAGACGGTCAGGAGCCCTCAGAGCCATTTATCCAAGACAGTCAGGAACCCCCACAAACACTGAAAGAGGTGGACCAGAAGGAAGAGGCTTTGGGAAAAGATAAAGTCCTTGTGAAAGGTGGCACAAGTAAGTTCCCTGGGTGCCAGGAGGATGTGCTTCCCCAGCTGTTCCTGTCCCTGCTCTCAGGTCTCCCAGCAGTGTCTGAAGGAGGGTATGGCTGGCCTCTGTGCTTAGAGGAGCATTAGCAGGGGAAGGCAGAAGTTCTGGGGTGTGCTATCAATGTGCTACTAGGGAAAACGGAAGATGTTTAATGTTCTGAAGACAAGTCATGAAAGAAATGCCATCTGTAGGATCAGTGGAGAGAGTTGAGTAGGGATGAGGCTGCTCTGCAGAAGTGATGGCTTGTGGCACTTTGGGGACTCTTCCCAGACCTCTCTCTGCTTTTGATCCTGGTGTATGGCTTCATTCCAATTCCTGCTGATACCTTGCACTTTTTGATGTCATAGAATCATTAAGGTTGGAAAAGATCACTGAAATCTAGTCCAGCCATGAACCCACCCTCACCATGCCTGCTGATCACGTCCCTCAGCGTCACATCTCTGTGGTTCTGGAACACCTTCAAGGATGCTGACCCCCACTCTCTGGGCAGCCCATGCCAGTGCCTCACCATGCATGTCACACATGTCCAGTTAACATCACACCAAAGCAAGAAGACAGAAAACTGGGATGTTTAAAATTGCTTTTATCTCCTTTACAAACAGAATTTCCCAGGGTGGTGATGCATGTTTTGTCCGTGAGTGCACAGAAAGAGGAGTCAAGTAGGGAAGACCATCCCGACTCAGAGGTGGAAGATGACCCAGCAGAGTTTGGCTCTGGTGAGTATCCCCGTGTGTGGGAGATGCAGTGCACAGCAGGCAGGAAGCAGCTCCAACAGGCTTGGAATGAGGGCTGAGGGGAATGTTTCTTTTGCTATCCAGTAAGGAAGGGCTCTGTTGCAGGGCACAGTGTTCAGCTCTATCATATCCACGAACGAATGAGTCCAATTGGAGATGGTCCTGTCAGAAATTAGGGGAAATGTGCTCATTTGCTTGTAACATTTGGCATTTACCGACAGACACAAGTTTGACAGAAGTAAAGAGCCTGGAGGTTCTGCAGAACGCAGCCCTCCCATCACTTTTTATCGTGCTACACCTTGTGGCCGTTGTTGGTATTGTGGTTTTAGGGGTGGGACCCTTTGCACAACCTGCCCTGGTGGCACCGCAGCAGACCACAGCTGAGTTCTTCTGGGAGCAGCAGACTGTGCCTGACACCCACTGGTTTGCTTAATGCATGTGAGCAGCAACTCTGCAGCAGCACCTGCACCTTTCCGCACTGCATTCTCAGATTTGTTGGCAGCTCAATTAAGAAGTGTGCTCAGTGCTCTGAGACCTTACCAAAACCTCAGATTGCTCTAGGAGGGTGAGTGACTCATGGCTCCATTGTCTCTTTTCAGAGGAAGTCTTTCTGTTAGAAAGTGAAAAGGCCTCTGAAGAGGCTTCTCTTCCTGAAAACATCAAGGTGAAAGAGGAAAGGCCCATGGCATCACAAGAGGCATCTGCACCTTCTCCTGGCCCAGAGGTCCAGAAGTGCCCAGGAGAGCAAGCCAAACCCAAGAGCAAGAAGAAGCCAAGCAGGTATGCGAGCAACAGCCTCCTGATGGGCGACTGCCGGCGCGGCTACGTGCGCGAGTGGTCGCACCCCTGCACCGAGTGTGGAAAGCGCTTCCGCCTGAAAATCAACCTCATCATCCACCAGCGGAGCCACGCCAAGGAGGGGCCCTATGAATGCACGATATGTGAGATCAGCTTCACTGACAAAAAACGCTTGGTCCTTCACCAGGGCATCCACACACAAGAGAGGGCCTTTGCGGCCAAGGTCTGGGGGAACACCCACCCAGAATTGAGGATGGGGCCGAGAAAGAAGTTCTGCAGGTCTCTTCATGGCAGTGCCCAAAGCCTGGCTTACAGGACACGTGCAGGGGGGTCCTGGCTGGGCCAGGCCAAGGAGGAGCTATCTAGACCCTATTTCTCACAACAGCAGACGCCTAGCACTCATACAAGGAGTGTGGTTAAATGCAATCTTTGCAATAAGAGTCTCTCATGCCCCTCTTCCCTCCAGCGTCACCTGAAGACTCACGCCAAGGACAGGCCATACTGCTGCTCCACCTGCAAGAAATGCTTCACCCGCCGAACTCACCTTCTGCGCCATGAGCAAATACACGAACGCCAGAAAGCCCTAGAAAACCAACAGCCCAAAGCAGAGCAACCCGTGTCTGCTGCAGCAACACCCAGCTGGCCCCAGCCCTAAGGAGCCCCAGAGTGCACAGCCAGAGCGCTCCTCACACACTGAACCAGGCACTCAAGAAGTGCCAGCTCTGCGCCCACAGCAGCCAGAGCTGTTCAGTGAATGCACTCCTGGTGGTTGCTGCAGAACACATACTTCCAGATAATCCTAGACTTGTGATATCCCAACTTGGAAGGCACCCTCAAGCGGCACCGGTTCCCATTCAAGAACTGCCTCATCCACTGCTATGGTGGGAGCGCAGTCCAGCCTGTTGTGAAACTAGGAAATAGGGTGGCAGTTTGGGAGGCAACAAACGACAACAGGAGAGATCCAAATCGCTTGTTTCCCTAGGGAGAAACTGAGCATCAAGACAGATTTTTGCACACAGTGGGCCACTGGGGTTGTGTACCATCTATCAGATGGACTTTCTGTGGTTGCAGAATGAATCAAAGTCTGGATGCCATTATGTAGAGCAAATTACAGAAGCCTCCGGTGATACAAAATGCTTTACCATCCCTCAGTTTTGTGTCTGCTGGCTGATGCATGAAACTTTCCCAAACTGACCTCCCCACATGAGCAGGTATGTCTCCTGCAGCCCAGCAAAGGAAGTTGGAAGCAGCTGTTGAGCTCAGCTGTTATTTGATGCTGGAGCTGACCACTTTGTTTTGAAAACAGAATTTAACGGTGAAGTGGAAGGACAGAAGAGTCTCAAACTGGAAAATCAGAGTGAATTCCCAATGAGCTCTTCATTTTGGTGACTGTTTTCTTGGCCACGATTGCCAGGTGGATAACGGGGCACCTCTGAGATCCCACCGTGTCCTGGCCATGCTTGTCTGATAACCCATCCTGCTGATTAAACATGAGATCTGCTGGGGAACACCTGTCCATTGAGCTGGAAGACAGGCAGAACAAGACAACCCACGACTCTGCAGGGATGTTGTGGGTCAGGTCCCAGCAGCAATCTTCCCTTGAAGAAGGCCAGCCTTCAAGATGGCTAATAGCTTCTTAAAAGCTAATAATGCTTTTAAGAAAACTTTGCAGGTAGGATTCCTCCTGTGCTGCAGCACAGCCTGCACAGGGACCCCCTTGCCTTGGATGTGTTGGCTGACACAGAATCACGGAAGCATAGGGGTCGGAAGGGGCCTCTGAAGATCCTCCAGTCCAACCCTCCTGCTAACACAGGTTCCCTATGGTAGGTTGCACAGGAAGATGTCCAGGTGGGTCTTGCTATCTCAGCTTCTCTGCACTGGAGTGTTCCCTCTGTTCATCCCTGCTGTGACCAGAAGCCATGCACAATCCCTCTATAACTAACCATGTGGAAGAATAGTTATGCTAGCTACCTCAGCTGTCCCACGGAGAGGCAGCCTGGTAGGTGAAAAAGGCAGGCCAGAGAGACCCTGGTGGCACCAGGAACGACATGAGCTACCAGGTGCACTGCTGGGGAACACAAATCACGTGTAGAGAGAAGCAAGCCCTGCTGGCATCGCCACGCAGGCCAAGCTGCTAGCACACTTGAGTTCTTTTTCTCCATTTAATTGTTTGATGTGATTACTTGAAATTATGAAGTGTGTGCCCCCCTCTGGGCAGGGAGTGTGGGGAACCAATTACTTTAGATTTTTCATTCCTGGCCACCTGTTAAGGTCTGAAGGGCCACAAGGTGACATTGCCTGGGCCACTTCCCATCGCATGCATCCGTGGTGTACAGGACAGGGCTGGGCTGCACAGCTGTGCCCACGGTGTTTGAAATGCTCCAGGCCATTCTCATGCTGTCCTACACTTGTCCCCAGCACCATGGCACTGTGAAGCTCCATGAGACAGGGATGGTTGCTACCTTACAGGCTGTAAGGTGATGGTCTGGCAGCAAGCTCTGCTGCAGCATGGGCTGATATTGGTTCTCCCTGCCCAGGTAACTGTCACAGTAAATCCCAGCAATGCAGGGCGAGCCAGCTGCTGCAGTGGTATCATCACACACCTCTGAGTATGGGGACTGCGTGGAGGAGATGGGCCTTCCCTCCTGCCCCAGCCTGGAGTATTTGCTTTGTGAGTGGGACCAGTGTTTTGTAGGAAATTTCTTATCCCTTTCTCAGGCTGTGGAATCAGTAAAATGTTTTGTCTGTACATGTGCCTGTTCTTGGTTATTTTTCTGCAGGCTGTATGTGTGTCAGTGCTGCTCAGAGAGAAGGGAGCAGGGGCTGCACTGCATAGCTTAATGGAGATCTGGCCTCTGAGCATCCTGCATGCACACTGATCTGTGTGCATGGCTGCACCTGCACACACCTCTATGGCTCCCAGGGCTGCATTGCTTCCATCTCACCCAGAAAGTCCCTCATGGGTCCCTACTGCCAATGTGGGCCTGAGGATATGGCATGGAGCTGTGTGAGTGGAGGGCCGGGAGGGGGATGGGTTAGGGAGAGGCTCTGCCCCAGAGGGCGGTGGGCACAGCCCTTAGCTGCTGGAGCTCACAGAGCATTGGGACATTGCTCTCAAACATAGCATTTGGGTGGCCCTGTATGGGGCCAGGGGTCAGACTCAGTGGTCCGACTCAGTGGTCCTTGTGGGTCCCTTCCAACATGGGACGTTCACAGGGTACCTTTGGCCACCATCGGCCCATGGCAGTGGCCACGTTGTGTCATGAGGGCACGGCCTCCCAGCACGCAGTGCATAGAACAGGCAGGGGGCTCTGGGGGGGAGTATGGCCATTGCTGAAGGTGGGGGGCACAGATAAGGCCACGCCCAACGCATCAGCACCACTGTGCTCTGGCCTGGCCTCAGTTCTGCCACCGTCCACAGGGTGTCACCAGGATGCCATTGTCATCCCCCTTATCCCTACCATGTTCCTCGAATGCCATTGTCCCCTCCTTCATCCCGTGTCCCCACATGGCCACTGTTACTGCACATGGCTGCCGCACACGAGGGACATTACCCTGGCCAGGATGGATGTCCAGACTCAGCATCCCCTCTGCTGAGTGGCACCGTAGTGGCCGTGGCCATCAGTCCTTGGTGCTGTGCCCACATCCTTCACAGTGGAGCCATCCAGTGCTGCCCTCCCAGGGCTGTGTCCATGCAGCTCTCAGCCTGCCCCCATAGCAGAGGTACTCCGACCTGGTGCAGCCCAGAGCACGGTTGGCTTCTGGGCTGCAAGCGCAGTGTCTGCTTCCGTTGGGATGCGTGACGGCATGGGCACGTGGGACACGGCGTGAGCAGGACCGGAATCACAAAAGCTGGGCTGGGGAGAGGAGGAGGAGGGGCTGCCCATGGGCGATGGAGCCTTGGCAGGCCATGGGGCAGAGCAGAGGGCAGATAACGGCTTTGTTGTGCTAATGCTGCCCAAGAGCCGCAATTTGCAGCTGAACGGGGCTGTGAATAGGAGCTCTACATCTCTGTAGGATACACCCGGTTCAGAGCTGGGCGAGACCCCAGGTGGGCAGCAGCACCCATACAGTGACGCCAGACAGCACAGGGTGACAGTGGGGACGTGGGATGACAAGCTGCATGAAGGACGGACGCCTCGCAGCGGACAGACATACACGGACAGTACCGCGGTGCTCCCACTGCGGCTCCAGCCCCATCAACACCCAAGCTCAACAGGAGATGGCGTCAGTCCAATCCTTTATCCAAACCTCCCCCCATCTGTGCGGTGACTCCGGTTGTCCCAGCAACAACAGCCTCTCCCTGGGCACCCGCACCCCCCAACCAGCCTCAACGCTGTTAAGAACTGAAGTAACCCTGATTTCAAGTGCTCCACTCCCCGTCCCACAGTGCCGAACACACCGAGCTGCTCTTTGGCTGAGCCTTTTTCCACCGGGCAGCAGCACGGCCCAGCTCAGCCCTACCACCAGACCAGCTCCATTGGGCCACTCGGTCTCCTCGTGCTCACGCCGCGGATCAGCCAGCTCCATCCTCATCCCTGTGGCACTGTGATGCCAGCTGCCCGCTGCATCCCTCCACCGCAGGCTGCTGCACCTCTCTGCCTGCAGAAACGCTGCCCCTTCGATCCCATCTGCAGCCCTCGTGCTATGGATTATCCTGGTTCAATGGCTTGCAGGGGTCTGTCCCTGGCCCCCGGTTTGGCAAGCTGGCAGCGGGAGCGTTGGCCACGGCGTGGACCTTCTGGTGGTGGTTCAAGGACTGCCGGTGGCGGAAGCTCTTGCTGCAGCCATTGCACTGGAAGGGTCGCTGCTGGGTGTGCCGGCGCTGGTGCTCCTCCAGCAACGTCTGCATGGGGAAGCTCTCCGTGCACTCGATGCAGCGGTAGAGCCGCTCCCCGGCTGCGCTGGCACGCGGCCGTCCCGCCCAGCCGCCCCGCAGCTGCACCCCGTGGATGCGCTGGTGTTTCTGGAGGTGGTGCTTCTGGATGAAGCCCTTGCCGCAGGCAGGGCAGCAGTAGGGCCGCTCCCCAGTGTGGATGCGGTAGTGTTTGTTGAGGTTGGATTTCTCGTTGAAGCTCTTCCCACAGGCGGGGCACTGGAAGGGCCGCTCTCCCGTGTGCAGGCGCTGGTGCCGCAGCAGAGCGGCGTGGTGGGCCAGGCTCTTCCCGCAGGCCGTGCAGATGAAGGAGCCGTTGCTCTTCCTCGCGTGGCTCTGCTGCCGGGCCAGGAGGTTGCGTTTCAGCCGGACGTTCTTCCAGCCCGGCGGCGGCACGCAGGGCTCATCCCCTGTGCCAGGTGGGCCGTGCTCCTCTGTGCCAGCCTGCATCGAGGCGGCCTCTGTGGCAGTGTCCTCTCCCAGCAGCATCCCCTGGGGCAGAGCGAATGGCTGCTCAGTCTCCGTACCGTGCCCGTGTTCTGATGGGAAAGGTAAGGCTGGGGCTGGGCGAGCTTCCACAGGGATGACCACAGGCTTGAATTCAGGCTGAGCAGCCCCGTGTTTGCAGAGCTCCCCTAAGCCCTCTCCTGCTGCCTTCTGTTCATCCAAGACAGCGTGGCTCTCCCAAGGCACCGGTGGCTCCTGGCCCAGGGGAACCTCCTCTTCCAGCCTCACAGAGGACACCTGTGACAGAGCCAGCATTTCCAGTCCTTCCTCCTGCGGCTGCTGCTCTTCTGTCTTGATCACGATCTTCTCACCTGCTGAGAAACAGTAATTCATTCCCAGCAAAATAAAGCTCTCCCATGCCTGTATCTCCAGCAGTGGAGCAGCAGCTGACCTTCCCCTGCAGCGCATGGGTGAGACGTGAGCAGGCAACCAGCAAATGTGCTGCTACAGACGGAGCAAGAGTTCTACCATGAGCAAAGGGGGAGAAGGGCACAAAGTAGAAGGGTGCTGTGTCTACTGGGGGCTACCTGGGGACATTCAGTAGACCAACAACATAATATTCATAAAGAACCCAGAACAGGAAAACATGAAAGCAAAAGTGCAGCTGCAGAGTCCTCTGTCCTGGAGGAACTCTGTTAGGAACGGCAGAGATTAGCTGGGTAAATCTAGAGGAAATGACCAAAGCAAAACCTTCCAGGAGCAGGACTGAGTGGCCACAGAGCCACTCTCGCACTAAGCCTTGCCCATGCTTTTTCCTCTCTTGCCAGGTGGGCTGCTCTGGGCTTACAGTTTTGGTGTGGTCTCTTCTGGATTTCTTTCCCCCTGATTTTCCTTCGCTGTTTTTAATTTCCATTCACTCAACCTGCATGCAACCCTTCCCCACCACCCCTGGCATTCACTGCAATGCCATCAATGCCACCACTGCTGTGACTCACCACCACCACCGTGCCCCAACACTGCTCCCTCCTCCAGCAGCCCATGGGTCCTGGAAGCTGAATCCTCCCCATCCTCAGTTGGCAACAGCAGAGCGGGTTTGGAACTGGTGTCCCCGGGCCCTGGGGGAGGAAGTGGGTGTGCAAAGAGCTGATGCTGGGCATCAACACCAGCACCCCTCAGGGAAGAGCTGCTCCTGCATGGCTGGGAGGCCTGGGCTCAGCTTCCCCAGGACAGGTAGAGCAAGCAGGCTGATGATTTTAGTTACCTCAGCAAGAACTGAACTTTGGACTTTATCACCATTTTAAAATTTCAGCCCAAAATAACCAGTGCTAAAATTTAGGACCGCTCCCAGCAAATTCCTCCAGGGTGGTGCACATGTGCTGGGGAACACCTGTACTGGAAGGCAGGATTGCAGAGCGCCGTGCCAGCGAAGCACGATGTTCCCCCCGTGCTGAGAACCACCAAAGGCTGAGGAGTGTGAAGCACAGCTGTCACCCGTGACCAAACCCTAACGGTGCCAAGGCCTCGCCATTCACTGCTTGTTCTCCAAACATCCAGATAAAAGAGTAACCTACGTAAAGCAAGGTTTAACATGGGAGATGACAGAGTCTGATGCAAGCGCAGAGAATGAATCTCACCGAGAGAGACCACAGCCTCGTAGCTCCCCTTCACTGCCATCCTGTACAGCTCCTGCTGCCGGCTGTCCACTCCGCCCCACTCCTGCTCCGGCAAACAGGCAGCACTGTCCTCACCTGACGCAGGGACCTGGAATGGCAGGAGCACTGTCTTACCTCGTCTCTCCCCACACAGCCCCCCTGTATGCCCCTGTATGTCTGCATGACAGCACAGAGCTCTTGGGGAAAGGCACCACGCCCCGGCCTGACCTGAGGCCTCTCCCCTAACAGCCAGGAGGTTTGCAGCTCCTTCTCCAGATCCACGCCATCAACCTGGGGCAGTCCCCATCACATCAGAGCAGGACACGTATGGGAAGGTATCCTACCCTGCAAGGCAACTACCAGGGCTCAGCAAGGCTACAGCTGTACTTTGTTCCCTTTTTTTCACCGGAGATGAGGAGGAGCTGCAAGGGCTCCAGGCAAAGCATCGGAGGAGCCACATCCCTGCTGCCCCGCCCTACACAACACCCACAAGAGCATTCCACCCACACCGTTACCTCGAGTGCATCCTCACTGCCTTACACGCATTCGTTGAATGAAGTTTGTCCCAAATTTCCTGAGGCTGGACCCAATTCCCCAGAGCTCACCCTTGTTACCTCACACGTGGTCCTTGGTCCCTGTTACTCTGGGCCCGTTCTCCACTCCCTAGGGCTCCTGCCCTGTGCCCCAGGGCTCATCCCCGTTACCAGGAGCTCATCCCCATTCCCCTGGGCTCAGCACCTGTTCCTTGGGGCTCGTCCCTTGTTACCCGGGGCTCGTCCCCCATTCCTTGGCGTCCGCCCCTCCCACCACGGACATGCCCCCATTACCTGAGGCTCGTCCCCGTTCGCTAAGGCACAGCCCTCGTTACTTCAGGCTCGCTCCTCGTTCCCTCGTCCCCCAGCCCAGCCCCGCCGCCTCCCCCCCGCTACCTGAGGCTCGTCCCCGCCGGCTCCCAGCCCGTCCCGCGGCGCCCAGCAGGCTCTGTTCCGCAGCTGCCTCTCGACGTGCTCCAGCCGCCTGGCGCTGTCCTGCAGCAGGGCGCTCAGCGCGGCCCAGCGGCGCTCCAGCTGCCCGCCGACCTCCAGCACGGCCTTCTCCAGCTCCGACATTTTCTTCTCGGCCGTCTCCGCGCGGCCCTCCAGGCTCAGCAGCCGCACGGCCTGCGCCTCCACCTTCCGCTCCACCGCCTGCACCGCCGCCACCACCGTCCACAGCGAGATCTCGTGCGCGGCCGGCGGCCGCTTCGCCCCTTCGGAGGGCACGGCGACGGGGGGCTGCGGGGGGAGCGGCTGCCAGGCGTCGGGCCCCCACTCGGGCTCCTGCGGGCGGGGAGAGGAGGAGGTCAGGGACGCGGCGGGGCCCCCCCCGCGCCCTCCCCACAGCGGCGGGGCCCGGCCCGGGCCCGTCCTCCCCGCCGCGGCGGGTCCCGCTCCCGGCTCCCCGCGGCGCGGCCGGAAGGGAGGCCCGCCGCCCGCCGCGCCCGTACCTGAGCGGGGCCCCACCGGGCCATGGCCGCCCCGCGCCGCCGCCGCCGCGCAATGGCGCCCCCTCGCGGCCCGCCCGCCGCGCCGCCGCCGCTCAGCGCCGCCCCGCCCCGCCGCTCCCGACGTCAGCGAGCCGCGGACCCCCGACCCCGCTCGGCCCCCCGGTGCCCAAAGACCCCGAGTCGTTCACAGAGGCGCGGAGCTCCCGGCTCTCCCCGACAACCCCGGTCCCGCCCCCGCCCCCCCACCCGCTCCCCAGCTCCGGCCGCTCCGCCGATCGCGGACCCCCCCACGCTCCACATCCCCGCACCTCTCGGTCCCCAAAAGCCCCACAGACGTTCGCAGAACCACTGAATTCCCAGGACTGCTTTAATTAACCAACTGACCGGCCTGCCCCACGGCGCGGCCCCCATCATAAAGGCACAGCGAAGCGGGACCCCTCCCCACGTTATTTTCCAACACAACCCACCCTCGCTGCCTACCAGCGCTCCCTCCAATTCCACCATTTTACCCCCAAATTCTTCTCCTGTGGCTCTAAAATGCCCCCAGCTTGGCGGCCAGGCAGGGGCAGACCCCTGGCCAGCAGCAGGACCTGCAGGAGCTCCGTGAAGGGCACAGACACGGGACGCCGCAGTGGGACACGGATGTGCTGGAGGCTGTCCGTACAAAGGTAACAAAGCTGGAGGTTTCCCAGCAGCAGCACAGCGGAACCACACGCAGCCGTGGGGAGGAACCTGATTCCCACAGCCAGAGCCCCAAAGCAGCTCCTCACCGCCGCTCCTCCCACCCTTCGGAAGAGGAGCACGCAGCCACGGATGCCGGGCAGGGTGGGATGAGCTCCAGCCACAGCGCGCAGAGCCCACCGTGCAGGATGGAGAGAGGAGAAGCGCCGGCAGCAGCCCGATCCCCAGAACTGCCCCCTCCCACCCTCACCTACACGGGCTCAGTGTGCAGAGGCAGTTTGCTGCTGCACTCATGTGGGCTCTCCCTTCTCACGTCAGTCTTCTGGTGCCCTCGTGGGCGGTGGAGCCGCTTGTAGGCTTTCCGGCACTCGCTGCACCAGTAACCCTTCCTGCCCGCGTCGCTCTGGCTGTGGCGGACGAAATCGGAGACCCAGACAAAGCTCCTATTGCAGCAGAGACACGGTGAAGAGATGCCGGTCAGCGTGCGTCCTCTGGTGCAGCACCAGAACGTTCTGGCTGGAGAAGCTCTCCATGCATTCGGTACACGTGTATGTAATTTTCTGAGGAGACAATGGGAACCGCTTGGGGTTGGGCTTCTCCCACTGCTCCCTGGTGCTGCTGACCTGGGTGTGGGGCTGCGCGGCCCTGCAGGGCGCCAGGCTGGAGCCCCCCGGGGTGTCGGAGGGCGGGCAGAACCCCGTGGCCGCCCGGATCCGCAGGTGACGCCGAATTTTCTTTTTGGACATGAAGGCCTGGTTGCATTCGATGCAGACGTACGGCAGCCAGTTGCTGTGGCTCTTCTGGTGGATGATGAGGTTGATCTTGAGCAGGAAGTTCTTCCCGCACACCACGCACCGGTAGAACTTCTCTCGGGAGGAGTTTCGCTGGCAGGCAGCGGTTCTGCCCACGCTCTTCTCTGGCTTCCCCAGCAGATCAGCCGAGCCGCTGGGCTCCTCGTGTGCTGCTGTTTGGAAAAGGTCTGGCATCTCCTCCCTGCTCGGCTCTTCAGGAGCACCTGCTGCCAGATACTGGCCACTGTTCCCTGCACCTTTCAAGTCCTCCTTTTGCAGACCCTCCTCGGCACCGATCCGCTCCTGCAGGACCTCTCCTGGGATCCCCACCTCGGCACCTGCTGGAAATTTGGCAGAACCCCAGCATCACTCTTCTGCTCAGTTCTGAGAACAAGGCATAAAGACCCAGGGGGCATAAAGACCCAGGGGGCACAAAGACCCAGGGGGCACAAAGACCCAGGGGGCACAAAGACCCCCATGCCTCCCCCTCTCCTCGCCCAGGAGCTGCTACCAATGCCAGCACCGCTCTCTTCTTCCAGCCCGGTGCCTTCCCAGACTACAGACCTACCCAGACCACAGCAGGACACCACTACAGCCAGTCACCTCAGACACCTTTGTCAAGGAATGACAAACATCACCGAGGATGGGAAGAGTGCAAAAAAGACATCAAGGGCTCATCCTTCAGTGCAAACCAACTGACTGACTTGGTTGACACTATGCCATATCCTATTTTTATATAGTTTCAAAGCTGGTAACTGGATTTACTGAGCTACCCCCTTCTCGGCCCATGTGAATTATGTAGAAATCTGTCCAAAAAGCCTCAGAAAAGCTTCATGCAGAGCAACTGCTGCACTCTGTGCTCCCTGAGCCCCCAGCCCAGCAGGAAGGAGGAAGGGCTCTGCACTTTACCTGCTGCAGGGGGAAGAGATGGAGGCAGGCTCAGGGTCAGCACTTCCTGGCAGCACGTGGGGATGGGACAGGGAGGGGACGCAGCCAGGTGGCTAAGGTCTGCTGGAGCTCCTATGGCTTCCTGAGGAACATGTGCTACAAGGGCAGAGGTGGGGATTATGACCTCGGGTGAGACACAGCCAGGGCTCAGGGTTCCTCGCTTTGGTGGACTCGCCAGACACTCATGTGCACTGCTGTCAGGTGCATCCGATGGGCTCCTGCTGTCCTCCGGGTTCCCGCATCTCCCCTTAGGCTCTGTCTCCACCTGCAGCAGGGCTTCACCACTCACACAGCCAGGACTGTCGGGCTCTGGGGACAGAAGAGTGCTCATCATCACCAGCACCTGCTGGGGTCCACAGGAGCCAGCACAGGGGCTGAGGGTCCCCTCCCGGGGTCTCAAGGCACTGGGCTCCGTGCCAAGGGGAGACTTGCAGGCTACTGATGTTCCCAGCACAATCCCTGTGCTGCCCCTGTACCTGTGGCTGAGGGCAAGGACTACTGGTGTGCTGGTAAGCAGGCAGGAGCCAGGATCCGGGCATGGGTAAGACCCAGCATCACTCACCTGCAGCTGGCTTCAGGGACACTGCTGTGCCCTCCAGGTCTGGCTCTGCTGGTACGCATGGCTCTCCTCTTTCCATCTGCAATAAGACTTCAGGCTTGGCTAGGTCACAGTCTGCTCAAGGACAAGACAAACATCAGAGACGTGACAGCATCTTTGCAGGTGCATCCACTGTCTTCTGTCATCAAACAGCCCAGTCCCCATCCATCAAAAGCTCATCTCCAAGCAAGCTGCACGCGAGGAGTTATGGGCAAAGACAGGGAGTTCTATGGAGGACCTGAAAAGCACCCTCAGGTTCATCTGATAATTCATCTTTGCTCCACCTAGGATTGCAACAGAAACCTGTTCTCCCAGAATTCCCACACACAACAGGTGTAAAATGCCCTGAAGACAGGAAAACAATCTGACCCGCTGCAGGATTTGGCTTGTGCCTCATTTTTGACCTGGGCTGCACTTGGAGGTGAGCCCACGAGATGCTAAGTGGACACCAACTGCAGGGAAATCCAAGCCCACTGCTCCCATCATCTCAGCACAGGGTGGAATTAATGACAGACATGAAAGTTTCAGGTTGGACAGAGCTGATTCTGTCCTTGTGCCTGTTATGATGCCATGCTTTGGCCTTAGGAGAAAACCAGTGCTGGTAACACAATGATGATTCAGTTGTAGCTGAGCAGTGCTGTGCAGACATTTGGGTTTCTCAGCTTCTCATACTGTCCTGCCAGCAAATGGGCTGAGCTGCATGAGGAGCTGGAAGGGGACAGAACCTAAACTGGCCAGAGGGAGATATTCCATACCATACGACATCATGGGAATCTGTGATTCTGTGATTCTGTGATGGGATACAAACAGGAAACCTGACAGAGATCTTGGCAGTGTGAACTTGTATGGCAACTCAGAGAGGACAGCATCCCAGCTCTCCAGAAGGAGAAGACACCAAGCACTTTCTACCCCCTCCTGAGCCCCACAGCCTCCATTTGCTCCCAGAGGGGACAAGAGTTGGAGCTGATTGTTTGGGGTTGGAGATCCCAGTGAGAGGTAAAGGAAAGCAACCCAGAGAGAGCAGCCCAGATAGCGATGGCAAATGCCAAACCAGCACGGATGCATACACAGGGACACCAGCATTTCACAGTTGCTCTGCATCACGCTCCGATGCAGCTCCTTCTGCTCATCATCCAGGAGGGCCCACTCGTCCCTGCTGAACTCCACAAAGACATCCCTGAAAGTCACCGGCAGCTGTGGGCAGAGGGCTGGGCTCAGTGCATCTGCCAGCTCCCCCCAGCCAGCTCCCAGACCCCAAGAGCCCCATTAGCAGCCCTTCAGATTCACCCAAAAGGCCCCTTCAGCACCTCCTAATGGGCCCACAAGCAACCTCCAGGCTCACTCTCAGCTCCCTCTCTCCCCCATCAGCACATTCAACCTTTCAGTAGCATCATATGCATCCCATAGGTTACTGCACTGCTCCCAAATGATTCCTCAGTCCTTCAAAGGCCCGTAATCGACCCCAAAACCTAAATCCAGCCTGCATCACCCTTCTCCCAAAATCTTTTTGCAGGAGCCCCATGGCTCAGTACCAGCCCCAGACACCCCCAGCCCCCTGCTGGCCCTGCAAGCAGCCCTCACTTCACACCCAGACCACCACATGCCCCCTCAGCCCCCAAACTGCTGAAAAAGCATCCCCCAGCCTCAGCTCCACAAAGTCCCCATCAACAACTGCCAGACCACCTCACAGCCCCACAGACAACCTCTCAGCCCCCCACAAACGGACCCCAGCCTGACACCCAGATCCTCATAAGGAAGCCCTACGTTGATCCCCTGCCCCACAGACGTTGCCTCAGCCCCCAGCCTGACCCACAGCCAAACAAAGGCCCCATAACAGCCCCCAGCCGGACTCCCAGCCTCAAAGCAGCCCCATAATGACCCCATGACCGACCCCAGCACCCTCAGACCCAACAAGCAGCCCCCAGCTCAATCCCTGCCCCCAACAGCCCCAATCAGGGCCCCCACGTTCACCTCTGACCCCCCCCCGAGCCCCCAGCAGCACCACCAGCATCCCCACTGCAGACACCCAGCCCAGGAAGGACCCCTTCGGCCCCCAAAGCCATCGGCGACCCCCAGCCCCACCGCCACTCCTTCACACCCCGAGGGCCCCGCGAGCAGCTTCCAGCCAGACCCCCAGCAGCCCCGCAAGCAGCCCCCAGACCCACCGCAACCCCCACCACCACCTCCCCGAGAACGGCCGTACCGAGGGCAACCGCAGTCCCCAGGCTTCCCTGTCCCTCAGCGCAGCCTCCGCCCGCTCCAGCCGCCGCTCCAGGGCCTCGATGCGGGCAAACAGCTCCTCCATCGCCCGCACCGGCGCGGCGCGGCACGGCACGGCGCGGCACACCCCCATCGCTCCCACCGCAGGCCTCGTACAGACAGCGCCCCCTGCTGGCCGGGGCGCGCACCGCACCGCCCTCTCGGCTCACGCGGCGGTGCGGCCGCTCCTCGCCGTGCGTGGCGCCCTCCGGCCGGCAGGGGGCGCTGTGGCAAAGAGGGCGGCCAGGCGGCACCTCCCGGCGGATCGGCGCCAGGTGCAGTCGAGGCGGAGGCGGCGGCGGCGGCTCGGACGCGGCGCAGGTGGGCCGGGGCCGTTCGGTTCGGTTCGGTGGCGTTGTGCGGGGACGGGAGCCGGGTCTGGGCGACGCTGTGTGCGCAGGGAAGCGTGGGCCCGGTGTCTCCGCACAGGGTTGAGGCCCTGGGTTCGGTGCCCTCACGTGGAACGGCGCCCCGCTCCCACGGCCCCGTCACGGCGCCCCGCACTGGGGGCGAGGCCCGGCCCTGCTGACCCCACACGGGAGATGGCGGCCCGGTCCTGCCGCGCCGAGCCGGGGAGGGCTCCAGGCGGGGTCCCTCGCGGAGCTGAGGCCCCGTGTCCCCACGCGGGGGGATGCGGAGGGTTTGGGGTCCCCACGTGAGACGGGGCCCCGTGTGAGGGCAGGCCGCGGTGCCGGGTGAGAACCCGTTCGTGGCGGCCTCATGCGGGGAGGGAGAGCTGGGCTGATGTCCTCACGCAGAGTGAAGGCCCTGGTGCCGCTGTTCTCTAATACACTTAAGAGCCCAATTTCCCAGTGGAATGGCAAAGCCAGGCCCCGGCGTCCTCTGTGTGGGGTTAACAGCCCAGTCCTGCTGTCCCTGTATGGGGAGGGGAGTCTGGGTCTGATGTCCTGGCACGGAGTTAAGGCCTCACTCCTGGTGTCTTCACATGGAGTCAGTGCCCTGTCCTGCTGTGCCCACCGTGCCTCGCGTCCTCGTGTGGCAGGAAACCCAGTCCTGGTGTCCCCGTGCGAGAGGCTCAGCCCTGGTGTCTCTGTACGGGGAGAGAAGCCCGCTCCCGGTGTGCCAAGGCTTCACAGCTCTCCCTCCCACCCTTAGCAGCTAAAGGACCCTGCAGGACACCGGGAGCAGAACAGCTGCCGGCCCCAGCCTCTCCTTTGGAGCGGGACATGGCCTCCGCGCTCCCCGGCAGCTGCCTCTGCTCATCCAGCCTCCCTCAAGCACCGGGCGAAGCCGTGCCGAGCAGCGCCGCCAGCATCTCGCTGTGGACAGTGGTGGCTGCTGTGCAGGCGGTGGAGAAGAGCGTAGAGGCCCACGCCTCCCGGCTGCTCAACCTAGAGCGGAGGACGGTAACCACTGAGAAAAAGTACTTGGACTGTGAGAAAACAGTGGTGGATTTTGGGAACCAGCTGGAGAGCAAGCTGACCGTGCTGGGCACTCTCATCCGGGAGTACGGGCAGCTGCAGCGGCGTCTGGAGCACATGGAGAACCTGCTGAAGAATAGGAATTTCTGTGTGTTGCGTCTGCCCTCCGGCCTCAAGGTAACAGACTGCACACAGGGGGTGGTGACTCACTGGAGCAGGTTGCCCAAGGAATTTATGGATGCCCTGTCTCTGCAGGCATTCAAGGCCAGGCTGGATGTGGCTCTGGGCATCCTGGTCTGCTGGCTGGCGACCCTGAACATAGCAGGGGGTTGGAACTGGATGAGCGTTGTGGTCCTTTTCAACCCAGGCCATTCCATGATTCTGTGACCAGGATGTTCCTGGAGGGTACTGAGTGTGCCCCAGTGCTGGTGGCATCTGGTTGAGGTGTCCCAGGAAACCTTTCGTTTCCCCAGGCACACCAGCTGCTAGTGAAGAGGTTGTTTTACTGTGCCAGAAATGCAAATACAACTGGGGGTGGTTGTTTGTATATATGTTTATATTTACTCGAATCTCTTTGCAAAAGGACAGATGGTTATAAATCCCGATAAAAATAACACTGAAGGAAACAGAACAGTGAGAATCTGGCAATATGCTTGCCCAGAATTAGCACAAATGAAGGAGATTCTTCAAACTGAGAATCTGAGTCGTGACGATACTTTGAGGCATAATTTCTATTGTCCTTTCAGCACTTGATATATGGTAGCAGTGATAAATAGAAATGCAAAAGTTCTCTCTTTTCAGTGCTGTGAGGATAGAAAAGGTATCTGTGTCAGGGCTGAGTTTGTGACTTACAATTGCAGGCCGCAGAGGCATCTGAAAGTGACACTTCTTGCTTTGCTGAGCAAGAGTGGGAGAACCTGGAGGAATGGCAGAAGGAGCTGTACAAGAACGTGCTGAGAGGGAACAGTGAATCTCTGAACTCTCTGGGTAAATAACACTTTTAAAGTCAGTTCTTGAGGCTTCTGGGTTAGCTGACATGGGGAACTTTTTCCTGCACTCAGGAGCCAAAGTTGTAGAAGCACAGAGAAGTCTGTGCCCGCTGCCAGTGTAGGGCACAGCTCACACTGCATCCAGTGCCTCAGTGTCCAGCACTCAGTGGAGTGGGAACTGGCTGCTGACTCTCCCAGAGCCCTGCTGTGTGCCAAACCCAGCCTACCAGCCCCTTCCCTTGTGGCTGTGGGTGTTTTTGGTGCTGGGATGGAGTTGGCTGCCCTAGGCCATCTGCTGGTGGGCCATGCAGAGCCCCCCGTGCAGTGGGCTCTCACTGGATGGTGTGTTTTGGCCAATGGAGCTGTTTTGGGGCATGCAGCTGCTGCCAGTACTGTTTGAAGAAGTACATTCCTCCCCATGACTACTGTAGGCTTGGCTTGGCACCTTGTTCCCTCTCCTGTCACCTGCAGCAATGAGAGCAGTTTGATGCAGCATGGAAACATTAACATTTCCGTTTCTCATCAGATTATGCAATCTCCAAACCTGACCTCTTGTCCCGGCTTCAGAGAGGAGAAGTGCCCTGCAGTGAGGTGACCTCAGGACAGAAGGAGATTCCTACAGAACCGAGTGCAGGCAAGAGATGAATTGATTGCATTTTTTACCCTTGGGGATAATGATTGTGTGGTGCTGTCTCCAGACAGAGAATATCACCAGGTGATGGTCCTGATTTGCTATGAAAGGTACTTCTCAAGAAGAGCAGGCTCAAGGGGAATAGCAGAGTGTCAGAAAACACATAGTGTATTTGATCTTTCCCATTAGCAGAATATCTGATGTTTAGACCTGATGCAGGCAGCTAAGGCAGCAGAGGAGTGCAGTGCCCTAGAGAACAAGAGCAATGTGAAGGAAGAAAACAGCATTCTGGGGTGTGAAGGCAGTGTCTGTAGGGTTTGGGGGGTCAGGGATGGGGGATCAGCTGAGGGGGTCCTTCTGGGACTGAGTGTCTGCCAGACCCAATGAGTGTTGGTTTGAAAGTATGTGCTTGGACACACTTGGACCAGGGAGGATGCTGTCCTAAAACATTGTCAACTGTGGGGTAAGAGGAAGCCCCCTCCCTACAGGGCTGAGCACAGCTCTCAGTGGTAGGAGCAGGTAACGCTGAGGAAAGGTTATATAAGAAGTTATATGAAGGTCATATAAGAAGTTGGGGTGGCTGGGAGCAAGCTAGGTGCGCTGAGGGAAGAGCCAAAGTGTGCCCAGTAAGGGAGTTTTCTCTTTATATCAGCAGACTTCAGCATTCCAGAGCCGAGCTTCACAGGAGCTCTGAAGCAAAATGAAGAGGTGTGTGTGGAGGAGCAGGAAGCCACGGAGGGTGCAGAGTTTACTGAGCTCAGCGTTGGTGAGTTCTGAGCAGTGCTACAATGTGCTGTGCAACTGAAGACCTAGGGAGAGCCAGTGCTGCATGAGGGCACCCCAGATGTTCCCTCTGCATGTGCAGGGCCCTGGGGAGAGAGCAAGAGTTGTGCTGAGGTTAACAAAGCAGACTGAAATATTATGGACAGTTTTACATGTAGGAAGATTGAAGCGATGGGTAGACAAGGTATTTCTGATATTTTTCCCTGGAATTTCTTCAGCTTGGTGGTAGCAGTCTCAGAGGAAGGAGTTGTGCTCCAGAGGAGTCCCTCAGCAGATACCTGAGGGCTTGGACAGTTACCAGCGAGCTGAGATGCCTCTTTTATTCCCAACAACAATGTAATACTTGATTATTAGAGTGTTCCCAGCTCAGCGGTCATTTCCTTGTTTCATTCCTTCTCCCTTACTCTCAATCCTGGTCTCTGTTTCTTCTTGTGCTACATCAGAGGCGTCCAAAGGACTTGTTCAGTTTTTGTTGGTATTTGCCCTGTTGTGAGTGCTCTTTGTCACGTCCACCCGTAGTGTCACCTCTGCATGTTTTCACCTTGTTACGTACACATCCAGAGCAGCAGCAGGCACATCTCAAGGCAAAAATTGGGAGTGTTTATGTGTTCCCTTTCAACAAAGAGGCTGCACAGGTGGATCACCACATCCTGGGAGGAGAGGGAAGGTGGATCTCGTGGAAAGGGCCACCACTATCTGAAGAGTGTGAAATACTGGGACGTTGGTGTATGGAGGGCAGCAGATGCACTGGGAAGCAAAGTCCTACCCCAGGTTCATGAGATGTTAGCACTTGGGAGGAGGACAGCTGGAGGCAATTTTGGAAACTCGGTGCAGTGCTGAAGTGTGTGCTGTTTTGGAAGGCAGCACTTCTCTCTGCTCCCTCCATTGTGGCTTCTCACACTCGCTGCTCAGACAGCTGAAAGGGAAGCATTCCTGTGCTCTTCACTCATATTTTGTCTTCTTTTAGTCCTTCAGTTGAGTCGATTGGTACAGCAGTGTTTCATGTTTCATGCTCCCTGCTAAGAGGGGCCTGTTTGATGCAAGGGTGGCAGGGGAAGGACGGGGATTTTAGAAGCATCTCTGTCTCCCGGCAGTGAATGTCCCCTTTGTTTTTCTCCTCAGTTCCAGCTGATGAGGTGATAGCATTCAAAATAGAGCAGCTGGACTCTGATGAATGCCTGCAAAGCTCAGAGTGTCCCACAGCTTTATCCGGGGAATCAGAAGACATGGTTTTCCAGAGTGCCAACGAGGTGCTGCCCTTTGACAGTCAGTACAGCTCTCCTGTGCCCCTGGGAAACCAGAGCATGAGCAAGTTGGTGCCAGCTTCTTCTGGGGAAGGTGATCTTGGCGAAATCAACACCATCACATTCTACAGGCAAGAGTATCCCGAGGAGAGGCCTCACTCATGTGTTGCATGTAGGAAGGGCTTATGTCTGAAGAAGATGCTGATGATGCAGCAGCAGAATTACAGCACGCTGTGTGGCAGTGAGCCCACTGAAGATGAAAACATCTTTATCCATCAGCCTCACCAGCAGATCCACATTGCCACAGAGAGCTTCAAGCAGAATCCAAAGGTAAAAGCTCCTGCTGGCATCTCCGCCACAAACAAGGCACGTGGCAGTTCCAGGTGCATGAAGAGCATCAACACCAACCGTAACAAACCAGGTCACCCACAGGGGAAGCCTTACAAGTGCAGCAAGTGTCAGGAGTGCTTCTCCCAGAAGAAAACCCTCATCGTCCACCAGCGCGTGCACTCGGGCCGGAGCCCAGGGGTCCTTTGGTGCTCGTACTGTGGGAAGACTTTCAGCCATCCCTCCAACCTGATCCGGCATCAGAGGATCCACACTGGGGAGAGACCATACCAATGCAACGAGTGCTTGAAGCGCTTCACCCAGAAGCAGCACCTCCTTCAGCACGAGAAGATCCACCTGCGAGAGAGGAACTGCGCGGTCAGGAATCATACGAGGGAAGCACCGCTATAGGGCTTCTAGGCAGGGCTCACATGGCCCTATAGCCCCCAGGCGAGGAAGGCAGGAGAGGACAGAGTCTCTGCTGCTCAGCATTAAAGTCTCTGTATTTATCATAAAGGTCCAAGCAAAGTAGAATTAGGATCCGCCACGGCATGACTGCCCTCTTCTTCGTGGTGGTGATGATGCGATACCTCATAGTTAGCTGAAAATCTCTTGAGAGCAAAAGTGTTTAGGGTCTCTCCAGGTTTGAGTCAGTTATTTGAACTGGTTACAGCAAGGTAAAGTTTATGGAAGTAGCTGCTTTTCACCTGGAGTTTCCCTCCCTGCATTCCCTGATGAATTTCTGCTGCGCTCAATTTTGTGAGCAAGCTTGAGTGACATGTTAAAAGACTCCAGGATATTAAAGACGTGCATGAGAGGAAATGTTACTGATGACTTGCAGTGGGACTCTGCGTTTGTACTGCAGTGACAGGGGAATTCCCTTTTTGTCTTGCTTCTGAGCACACCTAATAGAGGCAGCATTGCCCAGGCTCCTCCTGGTACCTGTTGGACTCCCAGTGGAACTGAAAGGGGAAACAACTGGTAAGCCAGAGGTGGTGCTCAGCTGTACACACAGGCTGAAGTGAGCATTGGGATAACGTTCTGCTAACTGCATCTGCATTAACACTTTTTCCTTTGTCTTTAATTATTGTCTTCATCTCTCTTTCCTCCTGATAACGTGGGGTACGTATGCTCTTTCGGTATTAGAGATGGGCTTTCAGTATATCCCAAAATGAAACACGTTCAGCCAACGGCCTGAATACATCATGCAACTTCAGGGCTCACAATGCTGCCTGACCTGGGTTAAAGCTGCTATTTGATCTCCCCGTTGCTCACGGGGCTTTAGGAACCTCTCTGCCACTTCCTGGTCCCCACTAAGGGGCATGTGCAAGTGGCTGGGTCATGCTTGCAGGGTCAGAAATGTTCCTGGGCAGGTATGTGAGCTGGAAGTTCTTCTGGCCCAGGAGTGAGCTCTTTCCAGGACCTCGCTGTTCAGTGCCACCTGCCCTGATGTTGGAGCATAAGACAGGAGTGCTGCTGTGCCTGTCGCAGCCAAGCAGCGAGGCCAGCTCCAGGCTCTGGTTTAAGTTAACCTGATTCCTGCAGAATCTGGAGCAGGTTGGAGTGAGCCTGTGTGAGCCTGCTCATGCTGCAGGAGCGGCACAGAACCACTGCTGCAGGAGTGTCAACCTCTGCAGGCATTTGCCTGACACATCTGCCTGTGGCCTCTTCTCATCTTAGTGCTGCTGAGGTCTTTGCTTTCTGACGTGTCTGAGCAGCTCTGTGTGTGGTGAAACTCTGTGTAGTTGCCCATTTTTTTTCCCAAAAAATATATCTGGGGACAGAGTGTTCCATGTTTTGTCGCTTGTCAGTGTTCAGTGCCCGCTTGGTACCACGAAGCAATGAGCACGGACCAGTTTTGCTTTGCTGTGTGACATGCTAAGGAGAATCTCTTGGCAGTTAGCAGTAGAAGGCATTTGAAATCCAGGCAAACCATTTAGGCCTGTTCAGTAAACTGATCCGTCCTCCAGTGCTTCCTGCTGACAGCTGCTCAACTGCTTGTTTCCTTCTTTTTCTTGCGTAGACTGTGAGCCTCCAGGGCAGGGAGCGCGTTTCTGTCATTTGCAGAATGCCAGTTCAACCTGCAGCGGTAGATACTTGATTTTTTTTATTACCATAACATTAAACTTGAATGGATTAAAGCTGTGAAGTCTTAAGCACTTCTTTTTTTTTGGTGGGGATCTTTTTGAAAAGCACTTTTCCTGCTTGCTTGGCCCTGGGTGTGTGTCCATAGGGAAGGGCTGTATGCATGGTCACTGAGCTCTCAGGGTCCTGCTGTGTTTGTAGCTCCCTGCCTCACTGATGGGAAGACACACACCTACCTTGCATCAGAAACACAACGGAGTGGGTTTTCATTGCATTTTTTGGTTTGTTTTAATGCTGCAGAGGAACCTGAGCAGGAGAGCTGATTTCCATGTGTGCATATCTGAGATTCAAACGGTATCGCAGTGCGAATAGCATCTACAAATAGGATGAAATTACTCACTGTGCAGTTCTCACCCCGCAGAAAAACCAAGTCAATGCTGCCAGCAAAAAGTTTTCAGCAACCACAGGATTGCAGCCATCATCAGTTCGGCCCATTGGAGTCGAGGCAGAGCAGGATTATTCTGGGATACAAACGTGGAGGTGCTGTTGCATGAAGCAGCAGCGGTGCTCTGTGACGGCAGCAGCCTGAATCTTGGAAAGGATCACTTTTGTGGATTATTCTACAAACCAACAACTACAGGCAACTTTTCTGTGCTGTTACGGCGTGATACAAAAGGAGAACAGAAACCATGGAAGTGCAGTGTTGCCATCTCTGCTCTGTGTTGCACTCTGCTGTTGTGTGAAAAGTTGGTTGTTTCAGTATCATAGAATCACAAAACGGCCTGGGTTGCAAAGGACCACAGTGCTCATCCACTTCCAACCCCCTGCTATGTGCAGGTCGCCAACCAGCAGCCCAGGCTGCCCAGAGCCACATCCAGCCTGGCCTTGAATGCCTGCAGGGATGGGGCATCCACAGCCTCCTTGGGCAACCTGTTCCAGTGTGTCCAGTAGTGTGGGCTGGGAAGGATTACACCATCTTAACAGCACTCCCCTGATTTTGATGGGGAGACTTCACATGGTAGCTGCTGCCGAAGCTCCGTGTTTCATCACTTATTGATGCCAACTTTGATAATACAGATGAAGCAGTACTTTGTGCAGTGAGTCATAGTTTCCCTGTTTGAGCTGAGTTCTTGTATTTCAGAGATCAATATGTATATTTATAACAGATCACGGAGCTATTTTGAGGTTTGTGCTGCTTCCATTTTAAAAATTCAGCCCTGAATCCAAGAAGAAATGTCAGGTGGCACAGAGACACAATGATCTTCCAAGGAGAAGAGAGAAATCCTTCCCTTGCACAGATGCAGTGATGCTTAAAGGATGGATCAGAAGCTGCAGGAGAAGGCCAGGGAAGATGCAGGAGGACGTATTTCAGGAGCATGAGGTCTTCCACGTGCACCCTGAGCTGCGTTGTGGTTTGTTCATTGTGCAGTACCTTCTGCTGTCAGAGCAGCTCCACGTCTTTTATTGCTTCACCACTTCAGATTTGCTTTGTGAAAGCCTCTCTGAGCATTTTGCCACATCGAGGCAGGAATTATTTGCATGCCAAATGCAAATAATGCACACCAAAGTGCTGCCACTTCAGTGTGCAAGCATCCAAGCTCCTACGCACCGATTAAACAGAAGACACGAGGGTGTGTGTAGGTACAGAGAAGGCCCTGTCCTCTGGCAGCCCCTCACCAGCAGGACCAGAACAGTGCATGTGCAACACAACTGCCACCTGGCTCCATGTCCAGCTGGGGTGGGCCAGACCCTTTGGATGCGCTGAAGGAAAGGTTCTCTGCTCCAGCATCCCTTGGTAGGGGCCCATGGAGGACATGCTGAAGGAGCCCGCCTGGTTCTGGTGGCACAGAGCCACATCTTTGGCATCATGTGGCAACTCTCAGCCAAGAGCAACTGGTGCCAACCACACGGACTTGTGCAGTGTGTTTGGCACTGTAGCACACGGCGAACTGGTCTCTGTGTTGGAGAGATGTGGATTTGATGGATGGACCGTTTGGTGGATAAGGAATTGACTGATGATTGCACTCAGAGTTGTGGTCAATGGCTCAATGTCCACGTGGAAATTGGTGACAAATGGTGTTGGGACCAAAACCGTCTCATATCTTTGTCAGCAGCTTTGCTGCAGGGCTGAGAGCTGGGCCACGCAAACCACCTGCGGTTCAACAAGGCCAAGTGCACAGCCACAGCCGGGTCAGGGCAATGCCAAGCACAGACATGGACGGAGCAGCGCTTGGATTGAGTGCAGCCACGAGGAGGAGGACTTGGGGCTGTTGGGAGGTGCAGAACTGAGCACAAGTGTGCTTACAGCCCAGAAGCTGCCCGTGTCCTGTGCTGCACGGAAACAGCGTGGCTCTCGTCCCCGCACAGCGCTGTGCTCGGCTCAGGGGTTGAGGTGAGGAGGTGATGGTTCAGTGCTTGTGATGGAGGCACCTCCGTGGGGACACCTGCATGAAGTGGAGGACCTCGGGTGTTTTTGGCCTGACTGTGGACATCTCCCATCAGGATAGTGCTCCTCTGGAGGTTGGCAGAGCGGAGGCACGGAGGTGACACCCCCCAGATCCCAGCGGTGATATCTGCAGTGCCACGGAGCTCCTGAGAGGAACCACAGGCACAAGGACGGGCCCGGGCTCCTTCAGACCGCAGACCCGCAGTGAGGCTGAGGATGGGGTCCCTCTGGCCCCCCCCCGGCCCAGCATTGCCCCCCAGAGCACAGCGGGGTGGGAGATCCCCCAGGAGGAGAGCGCACAGCCGCCGTCCCCGTGCGGAGCTGGCTGCGCGCAGGGAGCTCCCGGGCTGCAGTTGGCAGCGCCGAGCAGAGCGCGGCTCCGCGGCCCCCGCTGGGCTCCGCTCCCCGCCCTGCCCTCCCGGCGCGGCGGCCCCGCCTCCGGCTGCGGGGCGGCGGCAGAGGGCGCTGCGGAGCCGCCCGGGGCTGCGCGCCGCTGTTCGTACGGCCATGGCGGGGCCGCTGCTGGGCCGGGCGGTGTCGGCGCGGCTGCTCCGCCTGGAGGGCCGCCTGGCGCGGGCGGAGCGGCGGCTGAGGGCCGCGCTGGCGCTGCGGGGCCGCGTGCGGGCGCTGGAGCGGCGATTGGAGCCGCCTCGGGGAGCGCCGCGATGCGGGGACGGAGCGGAGGATGCGCGGCGGCGCCGGGGCTGCGGCCGAAAGGACGGGGAGGGGAGCGGAGCCGCTGCGGAGAGCGGTGAGCGGTGAGCGGGAGGAGATCGCGGGGCTGTGCCGGCCTGGGGAAACGTGCGGCACCGGGCGGCGGAGCGGGGGGCGACGGGGAGGCGCGGCGCGGGGAGCCGCTGTGCGCGTGTGAGCTCGGAGCTCCGCTGAGACTTCGGGAGATGCGGCCGAGGGATGCGGACGGGCGTCGCTCAGTAAGGGGCGAGTTCTGCTGCGAGCGAGCCCGGATGGAGCTGCAGACGGAGCCTGCTGCGCTTAGAGTGAGTTTCGGGTACAGGAGCTGATGTTGCCTTAATTCCCCACGCAGAAGACGGCGGTGTCTGCGTTAAGAAAGAGGAAGAGCCGTGCCCAGCAGCGCAGGAGGAGCTGGAAGCCGCGGGAGCAGAGCAGGAGCCGTGCCCAGGTGAGTAACTGCGTGCCCCAGGGCGGAGAGAAACGGAGCCATTACATTCCAGGCTTTGTTGTGTTTTTTTTCCCTCTTCTCACACATTCCAAAGCTTTGTTAGAACGCCTGCAGGCTCTGAACAGAGCTGGCAGTCCCGGCTGCTCAGCGGTGTTCCGTTGCTTTGGTGGCACTGCGTTGCCTCGCCGAGCAGCTGCTGTGCTTTGGAGCTGACTGCCCTCGCTCCACACAAAGGGCAGCAGCTCTCTCTGTTGGCTCTGACAGTTTTATTTGGTCTCCAGCTTGTGAAGCAAACTGGGATTTTTAGAGCCTCCTGTCAGGTTCTGTGAATAAACCAGGCTTATGGGAGCCTGTGTAAAATCTAGGGTTGGCTCGGGGGGAAAAAATCAAATCAGAACAGGTCTCAGCCTTATAACCTGAACTTAAGCACTTCTGGTAAGCTTTCCTTGGGCTTTTCCCTTTACAGAGCCAGCATTCTCTGAGCCTGAAGCTTCAGGTCAGACCAAGAGAGGCGTAGAGGTGTACAGCAGGGAGCTGCCAGGCACAACGCACGAAGACCTACCAGGAGACACCGGTGAGGATTCCGTGGGACGACTCCCACTGTAGGAATGGCCCCTCAGTGCCTCCTGACCTTTTGTCTCCCCCGAGGCTTTCTGGGTGCTTTTCTTATCTTTGTGAGTTCCCAAATCTCCTCTGCTTTGTGTCTTTCTCTGGTGTTTCTCAATTGTGTACATTTTCCCCAACAGAGTCTCAGAGCTGTGTGACTGCGGTCTTGTCGTGGATTAAACAAGAGGAGGAACTGCACTGCCCCGAGCAGCAGGGCTCAGAGAAAGAAGAAATCCCTGCAGAGCCAAGTGCAGGTCGGTAGTGAATTTCAGCTGAGATTTCCTGGGATAATATGTCTAATTTAAAGCATTTTTTGATCTATTAAAATATTATGGCCTTATAACGTAGGCCGTGAAAGAACCGGTGCAAACCTCAGTCTGCCAGCTGATGTTGGTTCACAAAGTGATCGGGTTCTGTGCCTTCCCTCCCTCAGCAGCCTCAAACTGTCCCAAATGCTGCCTTGGATTGTGGTTGAGGGGCAGTGAGGGGACAGAGACACATTTTTGGATCCAGGTTCAGCCGTAGGGAAGGTTTAGGTGCACAAATCTGCACTGGGATATTAAATGCAGTTTTGTGGAGCACAACTCTGGAGTTGAATGCAGCTCCTGACGGGGTAGTTGAAGAGAGGATGCATCATCTTTAAGTTATTTAGGCGTGGTAAAGTTACTGTAGAGTAAATTAGATTCTCAGTCTGCCAGTCACTTTATGGGAACTGCCTCCCTGCGTGGTTTTACCCCACAGAAACAGTCATCCAGGATATTGGCTTGGTGTAAGACTGGATCAGCTCTGCCTACGCTTTTCCATAGAGATTCCTGTTCTGACTGCTCTAAGAGTCCTCAGAGCACAGCAGGAGGAATAAGAGCTTGGGATGTTCATGCAGTGTGGATGGTGCTGGTCTCAGTTGGCCAGCCCATGGTCCCTTACAATGCTCAGTGGAGCCGTTCTGTTGCAACTCTGAGCAGTTGGATGGGACATGGGTCTAAAGGAACAAAGGAATCATGGAGCATGAGAAGCCTGAGCTGAAGACCGCTGAGGAAAATTAGTCTGAAAAATGACATACTAAAAACTTTAATTCTAGAAAGAGGGAATTTGCAGAGCAGTGGAACGAGAGGCAGAGAAAAGTGGGATTTGCTTTGTCTGGGGTAAATCTGGAGCTGTGCCTAAGCTGCTGAGATGCCAGGTACCTTCCAGGTTGGACTGTTAGGAGTCAGAGGAAAGCAGGAGGGGTTTCTGGAGGACAGGCAACTGTCAGCTCTGGCTGCCTTGTGCCAGCAGCGTTGGGATCAGCTCCAAGTCATGAGAGCCTTCCTCTTGCCTCAGCACTGCTCTGAGCTCTCCCCACAGCAGCCCAGCCTGCAGAGGCAGCAGCTCACGTACAAGGAGGAGTTGTGTACACTGAGCTGTTTGCCTGGCTTTGCTGCTTCTTTAGCTGTGCAGTGGAGTGCTGAACTGCGGTGCTGTCTGCCCTGTTGGAAACACAGGGAACTAAGGCTGACATGTTAGAGAGCTGAAGGGGAGCTGTTGCATTAGCGATTATTCACCTAGATTTTAATTGCAAAAAAGACCATTTGTTTTCCTGGAGGTTTTGTTTCAGTGGAATGCTGGTTTTTCCCCTCTCCCTCAGTATTAAAGCCTCCCATCATACTTACTGTGTCCATCCATTGGTTGGCACCATGTGGCCATGGATACAGCTTCTGGATACCATTAAGAGATTTCCTTTACTGAAAGACTGTGGAATCTGTGTGTTTCAGTGCATGATGAGAACAGAAGGAGGGACCCCCTGGCTGACAGCTTTGTAAGCACGATGTGTGACTCCAACATGCTGGAGAGACCCGAGGAGAAGTTTCACGAGGATCCCAGCCCTGCACTGACATGGGACAGTCAGTGGAGCTCAGAAATGATGGAAACAACCACCAGCAGGAATGGCTTTGGGGGTGATGCTCAATACGACCGAGCCTTTGGTGTACAACTGGATCTCTTTAGCGCTCAGCAAAGTGATGTCAGAAAGAGACTGTGCGTGTCCAGCAGGTGTGAGAGGAACTATATCCCGCAGGAGCATCTTCCAGCTCTGCAGGGAGCCCAGGAAGAGCTGCTGCCAGTCCCCAGGTGTGAGAACAGTCCCATTGAGGCGGCCTTCCAGCACACAGTGGATGCTGCAGGGGAGAAGTTTGAAGGGCTGCCAGCCAAGCTCATGCCAAGCAGTGCAGGTAGAACCAGGCTTCGTGAGCACAACGGCCTTTGCAGAGAGGACCGGCCGTCAATGGGGAGCGGAGGGAAGCTCCCTGCAGAGAATTTGTTATCCAGCCCCTTTGAGGCCGACCCACGGGACGTGTCGGAGGCGCCCAGGGGTGGCTTAGCGAGCCAACAGCAGAGCCAGGGCAGGGGAAAGTCCTACATATGCAATGACTGTGGGAAAAGCTTTGTTTGCCACTCCTGGCTTGTCCGACACCAGACCTCTCACACGGGTGAGAGGCCCTACAAGTGCTCCGAGTGTGACAAAAGCTACAGGAGGAAGGATTATCTCTTAAAACATCTGCGCCGCCACTCGGGAGAGGGGCTCTTCCCATGCCACCTCTGCAGCAAAAGGTTCGTACTCAGGAGGAGTTTAATTAAGCATCAGGAAAGCCACGTGCAGAGAACACATCAGACTGCCAGCTGGCCCTGCACAGAGATCAGGGAATCCGTGCTGCACTCCAGATAGAAAATCCTGCCCTGCTGTGGGCAGCCAAGCAGGTGCACAGCAGGGTCTTCCAGCTCAGCACTGTGCTGAGGTGGCTGTTGGATGGCAGCTCCCTGCGTGGGGAGGGGGGAACGTTGGTGTTTATTTTCCACTGAGTGCATCGGGGCGGTCACTGGAGCTGCTTGATGGCTGCAGGGCCTGCAGGACTCGATGGCCTTCAGAAGTCCCTTCCAACCCTAAGGATTCTGTGATTCTATGCCTGGCTATGAGATATGCAGGAAGGCTGCAGCACTCACAGCTCCTGAACCCACTCTGGAGAGAAGTAACCTCGACACAGAGCTCTGTGTAATGCTTCGGGCTGCAGGACATCCAAAATGTCATCTCAGGGTATCTCAGAGCCTGGGAACGGATCCGTAAGAGACTTCAATATCCTGTACTGAGCACAGGGAGCCCTGTGAGCTCTGAGCAGGGCTGCGTTCCGCTGCTGTGGTGGTGCTGGCAGTTCTCGTGTGACCCCACAGCAGCTGTGCCTTCTGGGCAGCCTTCAGGCGCTTCTCCGTCGTGCTTTGCCGTGCTGTCGCAGCTCTGGGGGGGTTTTGTGCAACTTTCTGAGTCCTGCTAACAGGCAGCGTGAACGTTTGTAGAACGTCCTCCCCGAGGCGTTGCGTTGCTGTGTTTTCAGGGGGGGAGGGGCGTGCTGGGTCGGATGCGCCGCGACGTCGCGTTCCTTTTGATAATAAAGAAGCTTCTCGTGGCTCCCGGTGGCGCTGAGCCTCGCAGGGCGGAAATGCAGAAGCTGAGGCCGAATCAGAACCGGGTTCTCGGCTCCCATGGCCGGCCGGCGCCGCGCCGCGGTTGTTATGGCAACGAGCCGGCTGTGGGCGCTTCCTTCCTGTGGTGTCACGCTCGCTCCTCCTCCAATCAAAACCCTCCGCTTTCGCCATTGGCCAACCCTGGGAGGCCGTGCCGCACGTGCCCGCGTTGATTGGCTCTAGTCGTGCGGCGCGCGGGAGGGCGGGGCAAAGCAGCTGCAGGCCAATGGCGAGGGGAGGCGGGGTGGCGCTTCGCACACCGAGCGTTCTGATTGGCTCGTACCGGGTCGATGGGGGCGGTGCGCAGCAAGATGGCGGCGCCGTGGTGGCGGTGAGCGGGGTCGGGCCGGCCGGCCTTCGCACAGCCCTGCTGAGGGCCGCCGCGATCCCGCAGCGCCGGGACGAGACCCAGCGGCGCCCGAAACATCGGGCTGGGGGCGGGATCTCCGGCTCTGGCCCTTTGTCGGCGCCCCTGAGCGAGCTTTGTGGCGGAGCGTGCGCGGTTCCTCTCGGAAGCGCCGCTGAGCGAAGGGCGCGACGCTGCAGGAGGTCCGCTCGGCGCACAGCCGCGTGCTCGCGGCTCCTTGAAGCTGGCTTAAAAGGTTTTTCCCTTTCAGGTGAGTTTCCGTTGCTCTGAAGCGGCGAAGCGGAGTGCTGCGGGGCTGCGGCCCGCGGACGCGGCTCTTCCCGGCTCTGAAGTCCGTGATTTTCGCAGAGAATTGGGGCCTGCTTGGAACGAAAGCTGCGCTGGGCGCTCCTCCGCCCTCCTGCTGGCGCGTTATTTTCGAGCTGCTCCCATCTCTGCCTTCGCGATGGTTTATTGCTCGGCACTGAGTCGCCCGAAGGCCACCAGCGGGGGCTGCGAGGACAGCGCCATCGCTTTCCATGGTTTCCCTCTCCGAAACGAAGCCCTCCTGAAGCGGTGGCTCCACGCCGTGGTCTCGGACGTGGGGACGCCTTCCGAGCACCGGCGGTCGTGTTCAAAGTGCTTTGAGGGCAGCTCTTTTGAAATCGACCCCTTAAAAATTAAGAGGAACAGGTGGCTGCTGGAAGAGGCCGTTCCCAAGCAGTTCATCCTGGGGGGAGATGGGAGCTGGATCGTCAGGACCCCTCACAGCCTCTGTGGTGGAAGAAGTAATTAAACTCAGAAGCAAACCCAGAGCTCCTAAAGGTAATCAGGAGATTTCAGCTGTGTTTATTTCTGTTAAATAGGAGGGATTTTAGGCGATGCCAGTCAAGAGGCAGCAATGCAGCATTCAGAGGTTGGTGGTGGAGGGGAGTGGCTGCATCTGGGAGCTCTCTGTGCTCAGATTCCAGCTTCAAACGCTGCATGCAGTAGCTATGAAGGCAAAGTGTGAACTGCTTCTCACCATGGATGTGTGGGTGCTGTGTTTGGGTTAGACTGCAGCAACAGGGGCTGTGTTCAGCACTGCTCATCTCAAGAAAGATCCGGATGAATCAAAAGAAATTAATGGCAATATGAGAACACATTTTTAACACTTTGCCTTCAGTCTGTTTTTACATAAAATGGCTTAATTGTCAGTATTCAGTATTCATAGGGCTTTATTTTTTGTTTGCATCACCTTCTGAGTCTTATCAGCAGGGAAAACTCTTGGAGCCGGATCTGATGGGATGCAGTGGCTCCTCAGGATGTCTTTAAAAACACTCTGAAGTTTTCTGGGTTTTGATTATTTTATTAATTCAGCACCCATGGTTTCCAATTCGCTGACTACAGGTTTTATTTTTTACAACTAATTTTTGGCTTGATTGCTTTAGAAAGTCATTGAGTCACATTATTTTAAAGTCATCTTGCTGCTTCCATGCTCCATGTAGAAATGACAGGAGGAGATTCAGCTGTAAGCTCCATAGGTCACGTGCTGTGCTAACAGTGTTTGAACAGAGAGGGCTTTTAAGTGTGTTCAGCACAGCACTGGCATTGAGCATTGAATGCTTTCTGTTTCAGGTCCATGGGGCGTTTGGGAAAGTGGCAGCACAAGAGGAGAAGAGCCTGGAAGAGTGGCAGAACGAACTGTACGAGGAGGAGGTGATGAAGGAAGATTGCAGATCTGTAAGCACTTTGGGTGGAGGTTATTTTTCCCTTTATTTCTGAAGGCTGAGGGATCTGTGCTTTTTCTAGAGTGGCTCTTGGCTTGCACTCACCCCTCAATTGGGTTGCACTCACCCCTTGGATTTTGCTGTGGATTAATCTTAATTCTGAGTGTTTATGAGAGGAGGTCTTTGCAGTCTGTAACATCTGAAGGACTCACTTTTCTAACACCTCCATGTGTGCTGCCCACCCTGCCCTCTGTTGGTTGAGGTGCTCAACCCATGCAGTGCATGGATGGAGTAAGAGGGGCAGAGGCAGTGCTGTCCTGGCAGAGAGCTTGAGGTCTCCATTGGTGCCCCAATGCATCTACTGTGAGATGAGGGGCAAAGGAGAAAAAGGTTTAAACCTTATAGCAAGGAAAAGGTTTAAACACGGGAGCTAAGAAGCTGCAATGACAGATGGCTCTATGATTAACAAGTCATAGTCAAGTTCTGTTTTCCTTCATCATCCCCCAATCCCATCATGTAGTTTTTGTGATTCACCCAAGAGTTCTGAACTGTTTGGTGCAGGATGGTTAAATAACACGAGTAACACCTCAGGAAATGAAGAAATCTCACTGGTTAGCATGAAGTGCCTGATGACATTGGAAAGCCAAATGCTTTGGCTGTGAGTTCCTCTGCTTCCTCAGCTTTCAGGTGATTCCTTGGATTCACAGCAGAGCAGACCTGATGCTAATTACAGGCTGAAGGTGCTCTGCCTGCAGACCTGAGGAGCCCCAGCAGCTGCTTGCTCTGTTTTCTGCTTTGTGACGCTTCGGTGCTGTTTGGGAAATGCTGATTTAGCCTAACCTCATTCTGTTGCTATTTCCAGTCTCTCAAATTTGAAAATCCACAAAATAATGAGATGATGATGTAATTCCACCTTTTTATTCTTTACGTACTTTGTGTTTTTTATACACAGCTGGAATCTGCAGACAACGGCCTCTATTTTTTGTACAACTCTGATCTGATAAAAAAAGAGTGTGTGCTGTGCACTGCATCAGAAGGAATCAGCTGGAGAAAAACAAGTGTGTGTCAGCAAGGCAGTGAGGAGCGACTGATGGCACACTGCACCAGGCAGCTGAGGTACACTTGTGGCTGTATCAGTTCAAGACCTTCCACTTGTGAACACTTGAGTTTTCAATCTTCTAGTTATGATTTCTGGAATTAAAAATGGGAAGACAAACACTGCTTCTCCTGTTCCTAGCTCTCCCCTTAGGTACCAGGGCAGCTGTGACAGTCACTTGCAGCCATCTCCTCGTTGGACCCATCTGCAGAGGGAAAGGGAGAGGTGCATTTAGACAGTGGTTGCACAGGTTTTCATGGGAAAACGGTGCCTCAAAGTGTTTGCTTACAGTAATGGCACCCAGAGTGTTGTCCTTTGGGAAAGCAGAAGGCTTTTCATAGAATTTTTCATAGAATCATGGAATCACTGGCTGGCCTGGGTTGGAAAGCACCACAGTGCTCATCCAGTTCCAACCCCCTGCTATGTGCAGGTCGCCAACCAGCAGCCCAGGCTGCCCAGAGCCACATCCAGCCTGGCCTTGGATGCCTGCAGGGATGGGGCATCCACAGCCTCCTTGGGCAACCTGTTCCAGTGCCTCACCACCCTCTGGTGGAGAAATTTCCTCCTCATATCCAACCCAAACCTCCCTGTCTCAGTTTAAGACCATTCCCCCTTGTCCTATCACCATCCACCCAAAGGCTTCTAAACCATCAGCAGTGTTGTGCATACGGACTGTGGTCGAAGCTTTGGTCACCACACAGCCCTGATGGGACACCAGGGAATTCACACAGGAGTGCTGCCCTATAGGTGGACAGAAAAAGCCTTACAGAAAAACCCGAACTCACCAACCAGCTGTGAGCTCACTCCGTTTGTGGGATCGCAGTGCCCGACGCCTCGCTGGGAAAGGTTTTGTGTTCTGTTACAAAATGTCCTCCACAGGTGCTGTCTTCTCTCAGCTGTCTGGCAAGGTTTAAAATGAGGCGTTTCTGAGCCGAATAAAATTCCAAACGTCGTGGTGTGATTTTTGGGTGGTCCTGTGTAGTGTTGGACTCTGTGCTCCTTATGGAGCTCTTATGATGGGGGGTGTTCTGGGAGTCGGTGAAAGGCCGTGGCTGGTGTCGGCCAAAGGGTGGTGATTAGCAGCTGGTGTTAATTGGTGGCTGGATGCTTGGTGTGGAGCTGAACAGAGCCGTGTTGGCTGTACCCAAAGCATTATTTAAGGAGCAGTCTGATACGAGGATGGGGAAGCAGTGACGCTTCGGTTCAGACCCCTGAGACCCCCCAGCCCACCCCCACCGTGCCCACAGCCCCGGTGCCACCTCCCCACGGCTCCTGAGCAGCTCCGGGGTGGTGACACCCCCCTGGCAGCTGTGCCAGCGCCCGACCGCCCCTTGGAGAAGAAATTGCTCCTAATATCCGTCCGGAACCTTTCCTGACACCCAACCCGACGCTTCCAAGCAGGTGAGGAGCATCGGCGGTCAGTGTGAAGAGGAGGTCGTGCCCGACCGACCCGGTGAGCTCCCGCGATGCGATGGGCAGCGTGACGGGGAGCTGCGGGCACTCCTGCTCTCCTCCACGAGCCGCTCTGCCGATTTCCGGGCCGGCCGGGTGCCGAGGCGGCTGGGACCCCGTCCGTGGGGTGAGCACCCCGCTCCGGGCAGGGAGGGACCAGAAGGGGCGCGAGGTGCCCCCGGTTCGGGGCCGGCACCGCCGCGGCTCTGGCGGCCGAGTCCCCGCCGCGAGCTCCGGGCGGCCAAAGCGGGGAGCCCGGAGCCCGGAGCCGCGGGCACCGCCGTCCGCCCGCTCCCCTCCGTCCCCGCCGTCCCCGCACGGGGCGCCCCGGGGCGGCGACGCGCCGCGGTCGCCGCCTCCCCCCGGCTCCCAGCGCCGCGGTGCCGGTGCCGCCCGGTGTCGGTGCCGGGCCGGTAGGCGGCAGTGCTCCGCTCTCTCGCCGCTCCCCGCCCGCTCGGCCCCGGGAGCGGATGCAGTTCCCCGGCTGCCCCCGGCTGCTCGGCGGGGCGGCGGGGCCCGGCCCGCAACGCGCTCCCCCCCGCGGCGCTCCCGGCGGCGCTCCCCGCAGCGGCCCCGCTCCGTGCGCGGCGTTGGGCGGCCCCGCGGCCCCGCTCGGCAGCGCTCTCTCCCCGCCTCGGCCCGGTCCCGGCCTGCGGGGCCCGGCGCAGCTCCGCGGGGCCATGGCCGAGTGGGCTCCCGCACAGGTAAGCGCGGCCCGGGCCGCCCCCCCCCCCCCCCCCCCCCCCCGGTCCCCCTCCGGCCCCGCGCGCTGCCCGGAGGCGGAGCCGCCCCGCCCGGCGCTCCCGTAGGGCCCCGCTGCGGCCCCCGCGGCCCCGCACCTCCCCTCCGCGGCCGCCCCCGGATGTCCCCTTCGAGATGTGTCCCCCCACCCCTCGCCCCCCCGGCGCCCCCTCGCCCCCACCGCGATGTCCCGCAGCTCCGCGCCGCCCCGTCCCCGCGTCCGACCCGGGGGGATCCCGCGTGAGCCGACCCAGATGCTCTCCCCCCCCCCCTAAAAAACAAAGGTGGGGGGGTGGGGTCCCGCCCCATTGCAGCCGGAGGATGGGGTGACCTCGTGGGCGGCGCTGGGCGGTGGGCCGGGGTGCCGGGTGGAGTGGTGACCCGGGGGGGGGGGTCCCTTCCAAGCGCGGTGCCGTGCGAGTTGGGGCGGCGATGGGCTGGGGGTCGGAGAGGTGTTTTCCAGCTGCAGCGAATCGCAGGTGGCACATGGGGACATCGCGGGGCTGTGCGCGTGGGACACGGACACACCGCGGTGGGGCTGGATGGTCCCGGAGGCCTCTTCCAATCTTTGTGGCTCTCGGAGCCGGCACGATGGGATGGGCTGATGGGTGGCCTCCACTGCGGAGGTGCTCTTCCATCCTCGGTGGTCCTCTGGCAGTGCGGAGGGGGCGGTGGTGGGACCTGGTGATCTCCGAGGTCTTCTTCAACCTGCGTGGTTCTATGGAGGTCGGGGCGGTGGGGATGGCCGGGCTTCAGCCCAGAGGTCTTTTCCAACCTTCGTGGTTCTGTCATTCTGTAATTCTCAGGGTGGGGTGTGGGGGTGGGTCGTGGTGGGACTCGGCGGTGGCGGAGGTCTTCTCCAACCACAAAGATTCGATGGTGGTAGGAGCAGGCGTGGTGGGGATGGGTTGGTGGTCGGATGAGACGGTCCTGCTCCGAGCTCCGTGACTCTGCAGCCCTGTGACTCGTGCTGCAGCCTCTCCGGGGGTCGGGCACAGAACGGGGTTGGGGCAATGCGGGGTCACAAGGAGCAGCGCTGCCGCGACCCCCAGCCCCCCGCCTCCCCACGCAGGTGCAGGAGTGGAACGTGGAACCCCCCCACCTGATGCCTCTGCAGCCACCGCTGCTCCCGGAGCGGACGCACGTGAGGGAGGCACAGCTGCACTCAGCCGAGGCGTCGCTGTGGACGGTGGTGGCCACAGTGCAGGCGATGGAGAGGAAGATCGACCTGCTGGCCACCCGGCTGCTCAGCCTGGAGGGCCGCTCGGGAACGGCCGAGAAGAAACTCCTGGACTGTGAGAAAACCGCCATGGAGTTCGGCAACCAGCTGGAGAGCAAATGGGCCGTGCTGGGCACCCTCATCCAGGAGTACGGGCTGCTGCAGCGGCGGCTGGAGCACGTGGAGAACCTGCTGAAGAATAGGAACTTCTGGGTGCTGCGGCTGCCCCCCGGCCCCCGTGGGGAGGTGCCCAAGGTGGGGCCGCGTGGGGGCAGGGGGTCCCGGAGCCCATTGGGATGGACGGCAGCGCTGAGCTGCAGGGTTTTGTCCCTTCAGGTGCCAGTGACGTTTGTTGACATCGCCGTCTACTTCTCGGCGGAGGAGTGGAAGAATTTGGAGGAGTGGCAGAAGGAGCTGTACAACAACCTGGTGAAGGAGAACTACGAGTCGCTCATCTCCCTGGGTACGCGGCCACATTGGGCCCATATTGGGGTGGTCCTGCCTGTCCCCCACCAGTGTCACAGGAAGGGCCTGGCCACTGCTGTGACACGCGTTGTGTCCCCCCGAGCAGATGCAGCACTGTCCAGGAGTGACACACAGCCCCGGCTGGAGCGTGGGGACGTGCCCTGCGTCCCCGAACAGCAGGACCTGGAGCAGCGCGAGATGCCGCCAGATGCCTGTGGGGGTGAGGCACCATCTCAGTCCCGGCCCCGCTGCCTATAGGATGCACACCTCCAGCATCCCGTCCCTACAGGCTGCGCTGAGGCCGTCTGGTCCCACTGGCTGTGCTTGGTCACCCATCCCCATTGGACATCCCCTGGTCGCCCATCGCTTTGGCATTCCCCATGCACCCCATTGTCACACGGCCCTGTGTGCTGGGCTGTCGTCAGCCAACACCATCCGGTAGTCACCCGTCCCCATGGGATGGATGTCTGCTGGTCACCCACCCCCATGGGATGTCCTGTCATCACACATCCACATGGGATGTTTGGTGGCCACCCGTCCTTATCACATGTCCCATGGTCACCTGTCACCGTGGGATATCCAGTGGTCACCCAACCCTGTGGGATGTCCCATGGTCATCCATCCCCATGGGCTATCCTGTGCTCACCCAATCCTGTGGGATGTCCCATCTTCACCCAACACCATGGGACATCCCGTGTTCACACAACCCCATGGGATGTCCTGTGGTCACCCATTCCCATGGGCTATCCTGTGGGATATCCAATGGCCACTCATCCCTTTGCGATGTCCCATGGTCACCTGTCCCTGTGGCATGTCCTATGGTCATCTGTCTTCTTGGGATGTCCCATGGTCACCCATCCCCATGGGATGCCTCATGGCCACCCGTCCCTATGGGATATCCTGTGGTTACCCAACCCTATGGGATGTCACATGGACACCTGCCCCTATGGCATGTCCTATGGTCACCCATCCCCACAGCTCCCCGAGGGAGCTGTGCACGGTCCCGTCACTGCTGTGGGACAGGGACACCCCGAGGCGGTGTGTGGGGCTGTGTTGGGTGGCTGCAGCCCGGCGCCGGCCAAGTCTCTCCTTGTGCACAGAGCCGCTGATCTCCACCTCCGACATCCTGTCCCGGATCAAGCAGGAGGTGGCATTTGTTGGGGAGCAGCAGTTTGGGGAGGACCGAGGGATGCCCACCGACCCCTGTGCAGGTGAGGTCTCCATTGCCTGCAGCATCTGCCGTCCCTCAGCACGGTCACTTCCCCTCAGCCCCATGCCCCCATCCCTGTCCTTCCCCACAGGTGCAGACGCCCTGATCACAGCTCACGACTTCTTGTCGTGGATCAAGCAGGAGGAGGAACCGTGCGTCAGGGAACCCTGGGAGCTGCCAGAGAGGGAAATCCTGCCCGGTCCTGTCCCTGGTCCTGGCCCTGGTGAGCAATGCCCCACAGCCACTGCACGCTGTGCTGATATGTGCTGGGGTTTGGCCCCCATTTTGTGCCAGTGGGTGTCATGGTGGCAGTGAAGCCATGCCCCCGCAGCGCTGTGCTCTGGTGTTGATGTGGGTTGGGGGTGGCCCTGGGGTGACCCCACTGGGGTGCCCTGATGGGCATCGTGGTGGCAGCGAGGACGGCCATGCTGGAGTGCTGCAGAGCCCTGGTTGAAGCAGGAGTGGATTTTAGGGTGCATAAGCTGCTCTGTGCTGAGGGTGCACCGGGGTCCACATTGTCCCCATGACCCCAGTCCTTCTGCGGTGAGGATGCACCGGAGACCACGTTGTCCCCACGACCCCAATCCTTCCGTGCCAGGGATGCACCGGAGGGCACATTGTCAGTACGGCCCCAACCTCCGCCAGCCGCTGACCAAAGCTTTCCCCCCACAGCCGGTGAGGGGCTGCTGGTGAAGATGGAGGAGCAGCGCTGTCCCCGCGCCGAGCCCCCCGAGGAGGTGCTGCCGGGCGCTTCGGGCGAGCTGCTCTTCCCAGCCCCGAGCTTTGGGACCCCGGAGGGACAGGCGGTGCCGGCGGCGGCCGGGGGCAACGTGGCAGCGCAGCACAGACTGAGCAAAGCGCTGAGCGCCGAGCCGGGGCCGGCGGCCGAGCCGGTGGGCGTCCCGGTGCCGGTGTCGGAGGAGCGTCCGCACGGCTGCGCCGAGTGCGGGAAGAGCTTCAGCGGGAAGAAAAGCCTCCGCATCCACCAGCGCAGCCACGCGGCCGAGCGGCCGTACCCGTGCGCCGAGTGCGGCAAGAGCTTCAACTGCCACTCGGGGCTGGTGCGGCACCAGATGATCCACCGCGGCGAGCGGCCCTACAAGTGCACCGAGTGCGGGAAGTGCTACAGCCGCAAGGAGCACCTGCAGAACCACCAGCGGCTGCACACCGGGGAGCGGCCCTTCGTCTGCGCCGCCTGCGGGAAGAGCTTCATCCGCAAGCAGAACCTGCTCAAGCATCAGCGCATCCACACGGGCGAGCGGCCCTACCAGTGCCCGGCCTGCGGCCGCAGCTTCCGCTACAAGGAGTCCCTCAAGGACCACCAACGCGTGCACGGGGCCGAAGCCGGACCGCCTCCGCCGCCGCAGCCCCCCGGGTTGCCCCCCGGAGATTAGGGAGGGACGGCCCGCGGCTGCGGACTGAGGGCCCCCCGCCCCCGGTCCCGGGGACACGCGTCGGCCACGGAGCTTCGTACCAAATGCGGGCGCCCGGCCCCGCCGAGGACAGCCGCTCGCAGCCCCGCGTTCACCCCAACCCCGACAATCCGGGGAACGACGGGCGGAGCTGCGCCGCCGGCCGTGTTCCCGTCCCCGCCTGCCGCTCTGCCCCCCCGCCCCCCTCCTCGCTGCTTATTTTTACTCCCCGTGCCGTCCCGCTCTGTACAGTGCTTGGGGTGTCGTTTTGTATGGACGGTGCAACGCAGAATAAAGTCGTGCTGGGCTGCCGCGCCTTCGCCCTGGCCCCGTGGGGTCCCCGCTCAAAGCCACCCCAGGACGGTGGCGGTGCCCCCCCAGCCCCGAGCCAGAGCAGGGGCTGGAAGCAGAGCAGCCCCGCAGGGACACGCGGCGCTCGGTGCTGGGAATGCTGTCCCACAGGTGCGGCGCAGCCCCGACCGCGCGGGGACCCCCGCCCTGCAACCCCATTTCTGGCACTTCTCACCACTGCAGCGTTCCTCGTTTTCCTTTCCCTCACCGAACTCTTGGCCCCGAGAATTGGGCTGCGCGCAGAGCCCACCCCTCCCTGCACTCCCCCCCCCGCATTTCCAAACTGGCACCAGGAATAAAACCCACCCGGTGCCCGTCTCGCTCCTTTGGCTGCTTCTTGTCTCCCAAAAGGGACCCGTGCTGCCCAGCGAGGACTGCAGCTCCATCACCCGCACGTGCTGACACGCTCAGCCCCGTGGGGACAGAATGCCGCGCTGTCACCCCAGCAAGGGCCGCGCACGGACCGCGGGGGGTGGGGGACACTGAGTCAACACATGCAGTGATGGCTTTTCTTTCTTTCTTTCCTTTTTTT